TTAGGGTTTAGGGTTTAGGGTTTCGGGTTTAGGGTTTAGGGTTTGGGGTTTGGGGTTTAGGGTTTAGGGTTTGCGCAGAGTTCGCTTGCCCAGGCCAGCATTCCAGCGCACGTCTAAGAATACTCAATCAAGGGACTAAAGGAGGGGCCCTTAAAACGGACCTTAGGGTTTTTTCAGGGGTTATTGTAGGGCTCCTTGGGTATATGGGGACTATACAACTTATATGTAGGGGTTCCTGTCCGGACCCAAAACAGCCGGAGGGCAAATCATAAACACATCCTGGCCCCCAGTATCCCGCACGACCTATAAAGCCCAGACCCCTCTCTCCGAGTCGCCTCCTTGATAGTCAGGTTCTCGGCCGGGCGGACAGCAGGGTTCCAGGTCTCGAAGAGATCCTCCTCGATGTCGTCCCGTCCCCAGAACTTGTTCCTTCGCTGCCCGCGCTTTTTAATGTGCTGCATTTCCTTAAGTTCTGGTGCTCAGTTCAGCCGCATGTCTGCAGCCTGCGGGTGTTAAAGTTTGCCACAAGGTCGAATGCCAGGGACTCAGGGTAGCCGCGGCCGCGGTATGGCTCAGCAGGAACAGAACCCACAAGCGAAATTGAAGCGGCGGGATGCCTAGAGTAACCCACCGAACCCTTAAAAGACGGGATATGTACCTTGATGCCTGATATCTTTCCCATGTTGCCCTTGTTAAACGGGTCTAAATAACAAACGAATGCTCAAACTAGGATCCCAGAGTCAGCCACACGGTGATCTGACACGTGTTGTCCGCCCCATCCGCTCTAATGTTAAAGGTTCGCCAGTCCGCCCGCGCGGGCGGCATGAGAGCTGGGTCCTCCGAGCATGTTCGGGCTGTTGCCTGTAGAGTTCTGCTATAGCAATTATAATAGTTCTTCCCAGTAGGAAGCCAAGGGAATAAGTAGTAATTACATAGTTCTTTTTAGTAGGAAGCTAAGGGAATAAGTAGAAACTCGTAAGGGGCTCTACACGGCAATGTACCGACTTCCCAACTTCGCTACGATCAGATCCACTCCGAAAGGTTATGCACGATCAGATTGCCAGGAATCAGGCTGCGAGGCTTCAGGACTTGATCGTGAGGTAGGTCAGAGGTAGGGTTTTCGGGTTTAGGTTTGGGGTTTAGGGTTTAACTAGGGTTTAATTAGGCTTTGGAGTTCAGGGTTTGGGTTTAGGGTTTAATTGGGGTTTAGGGTTTGGGGTTTGGAGTTAAGGGTTTGGGGTTTAGGGTCGGATGGGGTCCTTGTGAACCACGATGTTGCCCTTCTGATAGTGGATCTTGTCCAGTCGCTCCTTCCACTCCCCACCAAGCAGGTACCCTGCCGCCGCGGCATCCGTGGCTACCACGACCTGGGCTGTTCTTGAAATGCAAGATCACAATCTCGAAAATGGTATGGGTCTCGGTAGAAAGACTGATGCCTTGTAAAGCTGCTTCCATTCTGGGGCATTTCCCCAAATTTACGGGGTACCCCTTGTATACCCCAAATAGAACAGACTTTTTTCGAGGGACCCCCAAAACTTCAAAACCCGCAACCCTAAAACCCCAAACCCTGAACCCTTAATGTGATCTCCTGATTAGTGTGGGGCCCCCCCCCCCCCCACCCCTCCCCCCCCCCCCCCCTCCCCCCCCCCCCCCCCTCCCCCCCCCCCCCCCTCCCCCCCCCCTCCCCCCCTCCCCCCTCCCACCCCCCCCCTCCCCCCCCCCTCCCCTCCCCCCTCCCCCCCCTCCCCCCCCCCTCCCCCCCCCCCAAACTAAATCCACCCCCGCAATAGTGTCACAAAAAAAAGGACCCCCCAAACTAATTTTCGGCCCCGGGCCCCCCCCCACCGGCTCCTCTTCATTTCGTCTTCGCTCCTCTTCCCTCTCCTCTTCCTCTCCTCTTCCTCTCCTCTTCCTCTTAGGTAATGTTGTCTGCATATGAATTTGAAGGGGATCCATCTATCCCAACCAAGCCAGCCCGAAAAAAATAATATAATTCCGGGGGAGCAAACGTTTTTTATTACACGGCATTCGGGCAGCTGCTGGACTACCCCCTTTGAAATTTGATTGCCCGGCCTCGGTACAAATCATTTTATAAGGAAATCTTAGCTTTGGGGCTGGCCTGGAGGCTTAAGATTTCAAGGCCCGACAACCTCAGGCCTCAAGGTTTAGGAAGCCTCAGCCCTTAGGCCTCTGGATCCAAACCCAATTAGCCCACAAAAAAATATAATTCCGGGGGAGCAAAGGTTTTATATAATACGGCATTCGGGCAGCTGCTGGACTACCCCCTTGGAAATTTGATTGCCCGGCCTCGGTACAAAAGCATTTTATAAGGAAATCTTAGTTTTGGGGTTGGCCTGGAGAATGAAGATTTCAGGACCCGACAACCTCAGGCCTCAAGGTTTAGCTCAGGTAAGCTCAGATGAGCTCAGCTCAGTTAAGTTTTTTCTCCCTCTTCCGAAACCCATGCCCGAAAAAACTTTTCATTATTGTAGGGGGGCAACCAAATTTTTGTCCCCTGAATTATTTTTTGAAAACTTTTCACTATTGGAGGGGTCCACACTAATCAGGATACGACATTAACGCTAAACCCTAAACCCTAAACCCTCAACCCTAAACCCTAACCCTAAACCCTAAACCCTAAACCCTAAACCTTAAGCAGTCCAGCAACCACATCAAAGGCTTGGCCTTCGATGACCCTGGAGCCACCAAATGGCTTCACAGGACAGCTCAGTCTCAAGTCCTGGTCTAGGGCGTTGGGGGGTTTAGGGGTTAGGGTTTAGGGTTTAGGGTTTAGGGTTTAGGGTTTGGCTTAGGGTTTAGGGTTTAGGGCCTACCTAGTGATGGCGCGGGTGGAGGGTGCGGCACGGAACGTTATCAATTGCGGCAACCTTGGTGGCTTGTGCCGAAGGCCTAAACCCTAAACCCTAAACCCTAAACGCTAAACCCTAAACCCTAAACCCTAAACCCTAAACCACCCTAAACCCTTGTAGCCGGGCAAGTGCCCACAGCCCAAGAACTGACGACCTGGCGTTCAGCCACCAAGCTGTTCGCCTGGATGCACACCAAAGCACGCCTGTATTGTATGCCCTCAGCACTATCATGTAGGCCCTTATAGGACATGTTGCGCATTTTCCTTTAGTGGGTTTAAGAGCATCATGTTCGTGAACTCTTTTTTCAGAGGGTCGTTGGGGCCATCCCCTTAGCAGGGAAAGGCCCAAGCCCTCTACCTTCAGTAAACTCTGTAAAAACCCAAATAAAGGCCTAAACCCTATACCTTAAGCAAGCTCCATAGAACCCAAATGAAGGCCTAAACCCTATGCCTTCCGTAAGCTCTATAAAACCACACAAATATAAACCACGAATAGAGGCCTAAACCCTATACCTTAAGTAAACTCTAAAACCCAAATAAAGGCCTAAACCCTATACCAACCCTAAACCCTAAACCCTAAACCCTAAACCCTAAACCCTAAACCCTAAACAGCAAAACCCCAAACAAATGATGGCTCAAAGTGCGACCGTCCTTGCCCTTCAGCAGCGCATCCTGCAGCGCACGCATGGTGGGGTAGACGCGCATGATGTTGCCGCTCTCCTTAGCTCTGCTCTAGAACTCAAGTTCGACTACAAGGTTAAAAAGAAGGAAACGACAAGGTCTGTTATAGACTCGTATTTGTATAGATATAGATATACACACATATATGTACACATATGTATGTATGTATTCATATATATATATATAATATATACATATGTGTTTGAAAACTTCCTCATTTACAGCAGCCGAGAACAGCAGCCGAGTCTCTTGATACATGCGCACCAGGGGGTTGCTGGCCCGGATGAAGCCTCGAACTTCTGGTTTAGGGCTTAGGGTTGCTTAGGGCTTAGGGTTGCTTAGGGTTTAGGGTTTAGGGTTTAGGGTTTAGGGTTTAGGGTTGCTTTCAATGGCTCACGTTAATGGGCCTGGCCCACGCGCCTGATATCTGTTTAAGGCTCCGGGCTTACGGTTCTCTACTTGGGCCCTGAAAGCTACCACATGGGAACCCCTTTAAGGGCGCATGGACCCTATCAGGGCCCCTTGGGGTTGAGTAGCCCTAGCAGGGTCAGGGAATCTGTTGGTGTGGTGAGGTAGCTCTTCATGGTCCTATACCAAAGCTGGCCGTCAGGGCCCTCATGAACTGCAAAGAACAGAAGGATGCTGGGCGTGGCATCGCACCACCATGAGCCCTGAAGAAACACGAGCGTCTAGCTTGTCTCACAGCAGTCCAGCTCCGGAAGCCTTCCGGAGTAAGGTTGCTAAGGCGACACTGCATGCTTTCTGGCACCAAGGCTTCATGGGGTTGAGGGTTTAGGGGCTTAAATGGGTTTAGGGTACCGGGTACCGAAACCCTAAACCCTAAACCCTAAACCCTAAACCCTAAACCCTAAACCCAGTTGTATGAAGCGTTAGCTTTGGCCAGGGGCCCAGGATCACGCCCGCCGGTGTGCTGTTCACCTGCTCATAGGTGCAGGACAGCATCCAGCTGAGATGCAGGCCTCGGCTTACCCAGAGACTCCCAAACCCCTTAATTAAGGGTTTAGGGTTTAGGGTTTAGGGTTTAGGGTTTAGGGTTTAGGGTTTAGGGTTTAGGGTTTAGGGTTTAGGAATATACCTTAAAATATAATAGGAACCCTAATATGATTTAAGGTATATTCCTATATTAAGGGGTTTTGGAGTCTCTGGGCTTAGAGGCTTCAGAGGGCATAGGGCTTTTTATGGCTTGTTGTTTTTTGTTTTAGGGGTGGTTCAGAGGGCATAGGGCTTCCTATGGTTTGCTTTTTGTGTTTTGGGCTTAGGGGTTAGGCTGTCGGGTTTAGGCTGGAGGGTTTAATTAGGGCTTAGGATTTAGGGGGGGTTAAGGGTTGTAGGCATGGGGCCTATATGGGGCTTGGGGTTTGGCTCAGGATTCCCTTCTCAAAAACCATGGAATAAATTCATGTTCATACGGCCCAGCAATTTTCGCCGCCTACGGGAATCCTCACCAAAACACGTGAAAGTCTTTCTGGCTGTTGGGAGCTAGAAGCTGTAGATCCTGTAGGCCTCATGTTGATGGAGGTCGTGGCGCGTCATGTACTCCAAGAAGCTCTCGTCCTCTAGCTCCTTGCGATAGAAGAACATGAAATCTAAGCCCAAGTGCTGCTCCACATTGAGGGCCATCCTAAACAGAATAAGGAATCTACTACAAATGAGACCCATAATCAACCTCCATCTATGCCTCGCGTGTCTTACCAGAAGGTCCTTGCAGAAGAACACTATGAACATCAGTTTCGCCAGGTAGGGAACGTACTTCAGATGTTGCCAGACATGTCCCCACCTTTCATGGTTGAGCGTGAGGGCGTTAGTCAGGGTGTTCCTAGGTTTTCACTGGAATTCTGAAGGTTTCTACGACAAAGGCCACGGATAGAACGTAGAGGCCTCGTCGGAAATTCACGGTTGCGGGGGGTGTTGGGGTTCGGGGCGATTTTGGCTCGCAGACTACTTGGGCACTAGGGGGTTAGGGTGCTACTTGGAGGATCATGGGACTTCGTAAGTAAGGTTATAAGTACCCTGATTGGGGGTTATACAAGTATTTGTAACTATAGTTGCCCTAATTCTCACCCTACTTACTAAGTCCCCTGATCCTTTCAGTAGCTGCTAGGTACCCAGAGACTCCAATACCCCTTAATCAAGGTATATTACGAAAATTCAAACAGAGTTCCTTGTGTGGTTTAAGGAATATTCCTTGAGCAAGGGGTGTTGGAGTCTCTGGGTTATGTTGCTCGATAGATCCCCGCCAGCTCGTTGAAGTCACCATCAGCATGTCTGCACCCCTCTGGTAGGCAGCGTTGTAGGGTACCTGGGCAGCAAGGTCAGAGACTCCCATACCCCCGTAATTTAGGAATAGTCCTTAAACACTATATATATATATATATGTAAGGAAACTTGTTTTAATTTAAGGAGGGCTCCTTTTCTGGTGTAACGAATATGCCTTAATTCAGGGGTCTTGGAATCTCTGGGAACAAAAGCACTGCCAGAGCCGAGTCCGTTGCTGCTCGGACGGGTATGCCAAGCGCCCGGATCACTCCCAAGAGGTGGTGGTAGTAGTGGGGCATCATGAAGCCTGAGGGGGAGGAACTCACTGTGGACAAAGATCCCCCCCAAAAAAGCACCCTCAAAGCCTAAACCAACCCCAGGATGGGCTATGAGGCCTCATAGTCCCCATAGTCAACCCCATAAAGGGACCTTTTTTAAGGGCCTGTTTAAAGGGGTGATAGAAGGTATAATACGCCCATACTGGACTGTTCAAACACAGCCGGCTGAAGGGGCCAGGCGACGCAAGGGCACGTCCACGGCCACGCCGGGCGCGAGCTCCTGCTGCAGGCCCACCAAGCCACATTTCGGGCCCGCTTCCTGAGCATGGCAGGTGGGTTCCCAGGTGGGCCTCTTCTTGATAGTTTGGGGCTTCGGGCTTCTGGGTTTTTCTGCTATGTCACTAGGATGGGTTTTGTGGGCAGGGCATAACATGGAAAATGTTTAGGCTAAACTCGATTACGCACTGTGTTCTGTGGGTGAAGCCGACGGACAGCTTCGCACGAGGCTGGAAGCGACCTAGCTTTGACCCTGAACCCTAACACCCTACACCCTAACGAGAGTTAGCGTTCAGGGCTCTTCAGGTCCGTACTTGATTTTTCATGGGCAGCTCTAGCTGGGGTTCTAAGTAGGAGAACTCGAACATAGCTAAGGGTAGATGCGGTACTGCTAACTCTATATACCTACCGACGAAGCTTCAACAAAAAGCTTGGGATGTGGGGCGTTTGATCACAAAGCTTTGAGTATTCGCTCGGGGTGCTGCTGTTTGAGAGTGTGCTGAGCTGTGTGTCGGTCAAAGATTTCGAAAGACCAGTTTAATTAATTGAACAGATACTTGCAGGCTCGTGGGTAGTTATATGCTATAAGTAGGGTCATAATCATGGTAACTATGCGTACTCACTCTTAACCACCCATGAACCTTCAAGTAAACAAACAAGAGCTGCAGTGCTGCGAAGCGGCGAAGATGACGACCTCGTGCGTTTCCTGTAGGAGGTGGGCTGCGATCAGTCCACTCATGCCTGGCGATTGTCTCGCAAGCTAAGCTTGCGCCCGAAACCCTAAACCCTCAACCCTAAACTGCCCTAAACCCGAAACTACCCTAAAACCTAAACTACCCTGAGCCCTAAATCCTAGACCCTAAACCCTTGCCCGTAGGACCTTGCAATCACTAACTTCTGATTGAGCCGCATTTTGGGGATTGATTCGAAGGCCGGGCTTGCGTCTATTTCGGTTCGGGGTTGCTTTGGGGCTTAGGGTTCAGGTCTTTGGGTCGGGGGGGGGGGGGGGTTAGGGTTTAGGGGCTTTGGGTTTAGGGTTTAGGGTTTAGGGGCGTTGGGTTTGGGGTATAGGGTCTAGGGGCTTTGGGTTCGAGTTCTGCCTTTGTGAAGTTGCAGGGTGGCTTGGGGTTTAGGGGTGCAGGTTCATCAGAAACCCAGAAACCCGAAGCCCCGGACCCTTAACGCCATATCCCAAGACCCAAAAAGAGGGGTCCAAGTCTTAATGATTACATCGGGTTCTGGGGAGAGATTCTAGTATGCTTACATAGGGACCGGAAGGGAACACTATTCGCAGTTTTCTCCGACCCCTATGTTGCCGGGTTGAGGGCAGGGGGGACACGAGATGCGCACCTGAGCCGATGACCGCTGCTGTTGGCCTGGAGGCGACCTCCGACAGCTCCGCCTTCACCTTGCTGGCTTCTAAGCTCTACTTGGAGGTTCATGGTACTTAGAAACCCAATGATAACTGCACTTCTAAGTCGATTATAATCTAGGAGCAACCTAGAAAAATTGGCGACAAGTGAAAAGCAAGAAAAAGCAAGGCGAACATCCCTCTCTTAAGGGTATACATGGTAAACCCTGAGCCCTGAACCATAAATTCGGGACTCAAGGCTTCGGGGTGTGGTGGCTTGGTGCAGGCCGACATACCATCAAAGTAAGGAATTATACCAAAAACTATGTGCATATTATCCCTATTATAGGGACATGTAGGGTGCTCTAGGTAGGGCAAAGGGGGGGGGAGGTGTTTTGGACAGATTTGGCACCAAACTTCTTTAGACATTGTGTTGCAAGAAGGGCCGAGTCGTCATCTCAACCCAAGCCCTTGATAGCTTGAGACACCCTACGGCCTAAACCCCAAACCCCAAACCCTAAACCCTAACCCCTAACCCCTAAACCCTAACCCCTAAACCTAACCCCTAAACCCTAGACCCTAAACCCTACCCCGTAAACAAACCCTTAGATGATTCGCACCAGACTGGTCGTACGACCGTGGGGGCAAAAGGCCTTAAACTCCTACCCCGAATGCGAACAACTTAATTTCTAGCCCATGCGCCCAAGCCCCTAGACCCTACCTAAACCCTAATTAAACCCTAAAGTTAAAGGTTTAGGGTTTGGGGTTTGGGGTTACCCCAAACCCTAAATCCAAAAAAACCAAACCCATGCAACCAAAGACACCAGGACGTAGTCCAGGTGCTCTGCGAAGACGCGTGGGAGGCAGGGCCGAAGGACAAAGGGCTCCAGAGACTTCCAGGAAGTCACGCGGAACCCGGCATCCTGGGGAGGGGTTTAGGGTTTAGGGTTTAGGGTTTAGGGTTTAGGGTTTAGGGTTTAGGGTTTAGGGTTTAGGGTTTAGGGTTTAGGGTTTTAGGGTTTTAGGGTTTTAGGGTTTAGGGGGTCACCCCTGAAAGCCGAAACCTCCCATGAAACACTTCGCAGTCACACAGTTCGACCAAGCACTGGCCTCTTCGTCCTCATGATCATGGTAGGCTCGTAACTGAAGGCTGAGTGCTCGGAGGCTGCAACAGCTGATGGCCGTTACAGGCCACCATGCGTCAGCCGGAAAACAGCCCCACCCTGCAGCCCTCAAACCGCACAACTTCAGGCACCCTTATAAGAATGAGCATGCCTCTTCAGGCCGTTAAGTATGGCAGCCTTGCGTTGAAGCTTGACCAGCTTGAAGCTGAGGGCACAGGGAAAACCACGTTTGGGAGAAAACCCTGTGCTCCACAATACAGTCGTGCCGTCATGTGCCCCGAAAGCTCTCCTGCAGTCGGGCGCGATACTCCTCTTCGGTCCTCAGCTTTCTGGGTTCTAAAAAAGAGGACCCTAAACCCTAAACCCTAAACCCTGATCCCTGAACCCTAAACCCCAAACAATTTTCAGAAGTACATAGGCAGCTCTTTGGGCTTCAAATTCCCGAACCCACACGGGCCAAACTTCAGGGCTACCGTCGGCAGATCTGAGTAGGGCTGAGGGTTTAGGGTTAAGGGTGTAGGATTTAGGATGGCCCCGATAACCCTCTGAACAACATTCCTGAATATGATCCTCTTAAACCCAAAGAAGGAAACATAGAAAAAGTCCCAAGGGCCTACCTAGCACATCATGATCAAGCTCTGAGTCTCAAGGGAGGCCCTTGGCCCCAAGCTCTTCATCAGAAACATACCGAACAATGTTCAGGAAGCCTCCCCATTTTCAGGGTGTGTGTGTATATAATATAGTAATCATGAGTGTATATGTATGTATGGAGGTGTATTTATGCAATTATCATACGAGGCTATGCTCGGAAAACCTCCACATTTATGGCCAGATGCCAGTGGCCCGACCAGCGGATGTCCATCGCGCAAAGGCAGAGGCGGATCCAGCTTGGCGCCCCCGGGCGAAGGACGACGTCCGTAAAGGTCACCGGCTGGGAGATCTGGAGCACCTGCTCTGGGCTTAGGGCTTAGGGTTTAGGGTTTAGGGTTACAGGTGTTGTAAAGTTCTGAGGGGATTCATAGGTGACTGTTGCTGGGGTTTTTTTCATGGTGGGGGATGGGAGTTCAGCCTGCGCCCTGCGTTCTTGCCGGGGGAGTTCGGGCCAGGATTTGGGCTCGAGCTCATTCAGGGATTACTTGGAGGGCCATGGGTAGTTCTAAGAAAGCTTCTAAGTACCCTAGAAAGGTGGTTAGAAGTACTATAGTCGCCATAATTAAAACCCTATACTTAGTAAGGCTAGGAGGCACCTTAGCGCATTCCCGGAAGAATGCGGGCTTGTCGAAGTGGTAGAGGCTGTCGATGGCCTGAGCTCCACTTGGGAAGTCTCGTTAGACAATGCACCCCTTAAATGTCCTTGCACCGGCTCTGAGTAGGGACAATGGGGGGGGGGGGGTGAGGAAATCCTTAAAGAAGGCCTTAGAGGATCCCTGAGTAGGGAAAATGGGAGAAATCCTTAGAGAAGGCCGTAGAGGCCACAGCATTTGCGTGGGCTCTGCGCCATGCCTTTTTCTGATCTCCCGCGATCCCTTGACTTCGAAACTCCTCCGACTATCTCGATCTACCCCTACACCCTAAACTCTAAACCCTATAAACCCTAAACTTTTTAAACCCGATAAACCCTAAACCCTACAAACCCTAAACCTTGTAAGTTATAAAGATCGGTGGGCGCTTTAGCTGTTACCCTTATACCTTAACATAGCCCCTAGAAACCCCGAGAACCCCGAATAGATGCCCTATTAGACAGAAACTCTACTTAAAGAGACCACCAACTCCTATAACCTATAAGCCATAAACCATACTAACCCTACCTTAAAGGGAGTATATCCCCTCGCTCTGTATATATATATATATATATGTATATATATATAAACCTAATTCCCTAACGCCCTACTCAGACTAAACCCTAGAAAACCCTAAACCCCGAACCCCTAAACCCTAAAGCCCTAAACCACTGAACCCCTGAACTCCTAAACCCCAAACCCCAAACCCCTAAAGCCCTAAAGCCCTAAAGCTCTAAACCCCTGAACCCCTGAACCCCTAAACCCCCTGAACCCCTGAACCCCTGAACCCCTGAACCCCTAAACCCCTAAACCCCTAAACCCCTAATCCCCTGAACCCCCAAAACCCTAAAGCCCCTAATCCCTTAAACGAGCTAAGGGGCCAAGTAATCAAACCCCTAAACCCTAAACCCTAAACCCTAAACCCTAAACCCCCAAACCCCCAAACCCCTAAAGCCCGAATCCCCCCAAAACCCTAAAGCCCCTAAGCCCTTAAACGAGCTAAGGGGCCAAGTAGTTAAACCCCTAAACCCTAAACCCTAATCCCTGAACCAAACCCTGAACCCCTAACCCTAAACCCTAAACCCTAAACCCTAAACCGCTAAACCCCTAAACCGTAAAGCCCCTAATCCCTTAAACGAGTCAAGGGGCCAAGAAATTACGCCCCTAAACCCTAAACCCTAAACCCTGAAACCTAAGCCCTAAGCCCTAAAGCCCTAAAGCCCCTAATCCCTTGAACGAGTCAATGGGCCAAGATGGTGGTGAACTCGCCGCGACGGAAGCGGTCGAGCCCAGATGCGAAGCTCTCGGCGCAACCAACCTTTTTATGAAGAGGGCTCCGGGGGTTTCTGTAGGGAGCAAGAAGTGAAGGGTTTAGGGTTTAGGGTTTAGGTTTAGGGTTTAGGATTGAGGGCTTCAAGGGTGTTGGCGTTTGCTGTTTCACAAGTAAGTTGAGATCCAAGCAAAACCATGAGGGAAAATGTGAAATCTTGCCTGGGAAAGCATGCTATTAAAAGCAGGTTTCTGGAGCGGCGTTCTAGTTTCCCTCTCAACCCTGAACCCTAGACCCTGAACACTGAACCCTGAACCCTAAACCCTAAATCTGAATGCTGAACCCTGAACCCTGAACCCTAAACCCAAAACCCAAAACCCTAAACCCTAAACCCTAAACCCTTCGCTTGTTGCTCGGTTGTGATCTCCTGCCTTCATCTCCACACCGTTGAGCTGCGACGCCTCCTGTGGCTCCTTGTTTTAACTTACCGGAACTGTGACTAGCACTGGGATGTTCCCCCTTATACAAAGGGTGTGGGGTTTAGGGTTTAGGGTTTAGGGTTTAGGGTTTAGGGTTTGGGGTTTAGGGTTGGGATGATGTCCCCCCTTGTACTAACAGCCCGTAACAGGGATAATCATAGGGGGTCCTATAATCCCTCTTAAGGACTGTTAGTATAACGGGGAACATCCCAAAGCCTGAAATTCTATTTACACAGGGAGTGGGGGGGGGGGGGTCAAAGGGTATGGTGTTGACAATGGATTGTTGCCTTCTTGGTAGCCCAGCAAACCATATTATAGAAAGGGCACCCTTTTTGGGTTGGTTACTGAATTTTGGGAACCCAGAACCCCCAAAAAAAGGGTAAAGGGTACCACTGTGCCACCAAGCCTTGCTGCACCCTGATTGAGCCTTCGTCGCCGTGCGTGTGCTGATGCAGAGACTTGATGACTAGGGGTTACAAAGTGCAAAGCCTTCACCCTAGCCTTAACCCTAACCCCCAGCAAGAGTAACCTCTGTACATTTAAAAAAGCCAACTTTGTCCTTGGTTTAAGGGTATGCTAGGTTAGCGTACGTCATCCTAAACTCTGAACCCTACTGTAGACCCTAACTAAGCCCCCCTAAACCCTAAACCCTAAACCCTAAACCCTAAACCCTAAACCCTACTGTAGACCCTAACTAAGCCCAACTTTGCGATGGCCAGTGGACAAAGACATGTTGCGACCCCCGATCCTGATCCAAGCCAACCACGCGCTGTGGGCTGTGCCTGCTACCTGTCTGCGGTGTAGGGCTTGGAGGGTTTAGGGTTTAGGGTTTAGGGTTTAGGGTTTAGGGTTTAGGGTTTAGGGTTTAGGGTTTAGGGGGCTCAGGGGTTCAGAGTGTTTGTCAGATTTCTGCAGGGTTTACAGGGCTTAGGGTCTTTCTCACCCAGAAAAACCACTCAGAGTAGGCATTCCGGAAAGTAGGGACCGACGCCTCTGCGGCTAAAAGACTAGATCTGGACCCTGTGGGCCGTGCGCTTCAAGACATGACCCGATGGATCCGCAGAGCAAGGCGGGGAAAAAAGGGGTTTAGGGTTTAGGGTTTAGGGTTTAGGGTTTAGGGTTTAGGGTTTTGGGGCACTCAACCACGGCATGGTTACTGAACTGACAGATGGTATAGTGGCCACGGCCCTTATACATGACTACTTGAGCGATAGCTCTCTAGTGGCAGTTTTGGTCAGCAAAAGGACCAACAGGTAACATACCCTAAACCCCACACCCTACACCCTGCACTTCACACCCTAAACCCTAAACCCTAAACCCTAAACTCTAAACCCTAAACCCTAAACCCTAAACCCATGTAGGATGAGACGAACCGCAAGGGCAGAGGTTCAAAAAGCCCAAGTTGCTGATGAAGCTGAGCTCGGCTCCCCTTCCACAGCCAACGCACAGGACATGGTCCGCCTCCTTCGAGAGATGCGCCAGGGCTTGAGGTTGTACGGAGTTGAAGGGTTTCGTTTAGGGTTTAGGATTTAGGGTTTAGGGTTCAGGGTTTAGATTTTAGGGTTTAGGGTTTAGGGTCTGTGGACATGACCCTCACATCTGCATTGAGGCAAAAGCATGATATGCGCCAAAGCCCTAACCCCTAAACCCGAATTGAACCCTCAAGAGGCTCAAGGAGGGACCCTTTTCAGGGACCTGAAAGGTTACTTAGGGATTATTCTAGGGTTTTTTCGGGAAGAACATTGTGGGTCCCTTCTAGGGATCCCTCCTTATATCCCTCAGAACCCTAAAACCTAAACTCCCAAAGCCCTAGCCCCTAAAACCCGAATATGCACCCGACACCCCTTGACCCCAAAACCTAAATCCTAAACCCTGACCCTAAACTCCTTGAGGGCGGCTTCCTTGGTGACGGCCTCTGCTAGCTGTCTACACGCGACAGCGTAGTCCGTCGTGGACTGCCAGTACCTTGGATGGACCCTACAAGGAGGCCCCCCCCCAGTTATAAGTAGAGTTTTAAGAACCCTAAATTGGGTAATAAGGATCCTAACTTAGGTTCTAAGTCCCTTAACTGTAGTACAGTAAGGGGGCCCCTCCTTGTAAACCCTAAACCACTCAGCCTGCTTCTTCCGTGCCCACCTATCACAGGTGCCTGGAACTTCAGGTCTTCAGAGGGTTGAATTGGTGTTGCGACTGTTGGGGCGCAGTGTTGGGTGCATTCTGGCCCGGACCCATCAAGCCCAGTGCACCTGACATGGTGCACCTAAACCCTAAACCCTGAACCCTAAACCCTAAACCCTAAACCCTAAACCCTAAACCCTTGGCAAGGCGCCCCAGGTTCATCCAGCCCGACTGCGATGAGCCCGCGAGCTGGGAGATGCTTCTCTGGATGAGGGTGACCAGCTTTGACCTGCGTTGAAGTTTAGGGTTTAGGGTTTAGGGTTGTTTAGGGTTTAGGGTTTAGGGTTTAGGGTCTAGGGTTAGGGTTTAGGGTTTAGGGTTTAGGGTTTAAGGCTTGGGGCTTGGGGCTTAGGGCTGAGGGCTGAGGGCTTAGGGTTTAGGGTTTGGGGTTTTGGGTTTGGGGTTTGGGGTTTAGGGTTTAAGGTTTGGCGGCTGGAAGGCTCTTCGCCCTGGGATCCCAACCAAGACCCTCAAGTTCTCAAGCCCTGAAGCCCCCACAGAACCCTAGAAAGCCCTAGAACCCTAAACGCCCTGAAAAAAACCCAAAACCTTGAAAAATCCTAAGAAAACCTAAAAACCGTAAAACCCCTACAAGCCCTGAAAAAACCCCAAAAACCTTGAAAAAACCCTAAGAAAACCTAAAAACCGTAAAACCCCTACAAGCCCTGAAAGCCCTAAGCCCTCGAGCACCTGAGGCCATGCTGGTAGAAGCCGCAGACGCAGCCCAAGACGAAGCCAGGGGAGGCCAGATAGACCAGTAAGGCCCACCTGGGCTTTATAGGGTTTAGGGTTTAGGGTTTAGGGTTTAGGGTTTAGGGTTTAGGGTTTAGGGTTTAGGCTTTAGGCTTTTTGGTTTAGGGTTTGGGATTTTTTTGAGTTTTGCGAATTTAGGTAGCGTTTGTGGGTCTATGGTTAGGGCCCCTCAAAACAGGAACGTGTGCCCTAATTCTGAGACTATTTCCTTGTTATCAATGGTGCATAGGCTCCTCTAGGTACCATGGCACCCATGCCCCCTAGCTAACGCCTGAAATTAGAACAGGGCTCCTAACATGAATTACAGTGTGGTTGTTCAAGTTAAGGGATATTGCGCTCTATGGATGTGGCCCCAGGCACACGATCAGCTCTTGGACCTTCACATGCTGGGCCGCAAACGCGCACGTCAGTGCAGAGGAGGCCAGCACATCCACAGAGATGGAGATTTGGCAGTCCGACTGCGGCCACGAACTCTTCGAGGAGGTTATGTGCGTCAGGAAGCTCAAAATTGCCAGCACGAGGTACAGCGCTCCCCGATCCACCGAGGGGCCCCACTGGAAGAACTTGGGCACGATCAGGCACGCGTGCAGGGCCCAAAGCCACCAACTTAAGCCTCTCCTTCGGTTCGTGGAGTGGCAGTGGCTTTTGTAAAGGCTTCTGAGGGATTTTAACTTGCGTTTATAGGGGGTTTCGAAGGGCTTGAACTTGGGGCTTATGAGGGTGTTCACTTGGGGTTTATACAGAAAATGCCGAGAGCCACAAACAACAACCTGCTCAAGACCCAGTCTCAGGGTGCTGGTGTGTGGTAGCATCCACATACCTTGGCTTTGCTGGACCCTACCCCCACATCCCCGTGTTTCCCCAACTAGGGGTCCCCTTCATAGATATCGGAAGCTTTCAAAGGGTACCCCTAATTTTGGGAAACCACCTAAGTCCTAAATCCTAACCCCTACGCCCCAAAACCCTTAACCCTAAAACCCTAAACCCCAAACCCTAAACCCCAAAACCCCAAACCCCAAAACCCCAAACCCTAAACCCTAAGCCCCAAACCCTAAGCCCCAAACCCTAAACCCTAAACCCTATACCCTAAACCCTAAACCCTAAACCCTAAACCCTAAACCCTAAACCCTAAACCCTAAGCAAAGAAGGTTTGCCCACCCCCAAAGCTTCGGAAGGAGGCCGGGAGGCTGACAAAGGCCAGCAGGGTGAAGGCAACCAGGGAGGCAGGGACCTCACCATAGGGGTTTAGGGTTTAGGGTTTAGGGTTTAGGGTTTAGGGTTTAGGGGTAGGTATAAGCAAGGTTGTAGGCAAGGTTACAAGTAAGGCTATACATAAGGGTATGAGTAGGGACCTCACTCTACCTACTTGGAGGTTCACGGGTGGGTTTGAGCAAGGTTCAAAGCTAGGTGTTCAGTGAGGTTGCTTAAATAAGGGTATGAGAACCCGAGATAGCGTTACTTAGGTTCAGTGGTTGCTTGGAGGTTCAGAGGTAGTTACAAGTTGGTAGGGTTATAATGATGGTAATTGTGCTTGGAATCGTAAATAGGGGGTATTTATGACCCTACTTATAATTGTGCATGAACCTCCAAATATAGCAACCCTTATTTTTTAGAAACCCTTTTGCCTGAACTATGGGTATATTTCTGTTAAGGCATATAGTCTACTCGAGGTATGTCAAAGGGCCCCGTTCCTGCGGACACCCAACCCCCCCAAACATGGACCCTGTGACTACTATGTGATGACTATGGACGGGCTCGTACCCTAAACTCTAAACCCTAAACCCTAAACCCTCTAAGAGATCAGGTAATTGAAGTCCCCCACAGGCCCCCCCGGCCTTGCCCGCAGGCTCTGAGGAAAATGGGATCAGGCAGTAGCCTCGGCAAGCATGCTTGTCGTTGCAGAACAAGAGCTAGTCAATCTTATCCTAAACTCTAAACCCTAAACCCTAATCATTAGGGTTTAGGGCATAGCGCTTTGCACCTCCTCAACAGCCGGCAGGGAAACTCCGCAATCGCCATAGGGCCAAACTGACACATGACGTAGCCGGGGCAACCAAACATGGAAGGCTATTGCTCAAGCGATGTAGTTTGGGATGTCCCCCATTATGCTACCTGTCCTTAATAGGGATTACAGTCAGTACCCGCCCCTAATGTAGTCCCTGTCAAGGACTGGTAGTATAAGGGGGAACATTCCAAGAACTATATGTAGTTTGTGTGAGCTCATCGGAAGTATATCGTCAGTTCAACCGAGCACTGAAACAAAATGGAACTCCTTGTGCCCACTTCGTCCACACGTGTCATTACTTGGTACCATGCCATTGCTGTCGTGAGAAATTTTAAGTCTCGTTGTACCTTTATTTGCTGTTGGTGAAGACTAGAGACATCAATGATCAGAACCTTTCACATGCTAGAAACCTAGGTTGTAGACTATACCGTATACGAGCTTCCGCTATTCTAAAGTTTAGGATGGAATCTTGTGCTAGCTCTGAGGTTAGTCTTTCTGAGCAAAGAAAACTCTCGATAAGCATCAACAGGGTTCAATATATAGAAAGCCAAAGGAACCGATCTATCGCCGCGTGCAACACGGTTTGTCTATTGGTATTCAAACGCACCCAGAAGTGGCTTGTATGTTGTGGTGGGCGACTACGACTTGCGCATAGTGCATGCAGTCGCTTCCCTGACTTTGCTCACTGTTGCCTTTCGCGAGCGATTTCAGAAGCCATAAGCAGATGTTCACTTTCGAACGCCTAGCCCTCCCAGGCGAATCATCCCTAAACCTAAACCCACCCACCCCAAGCAAAACCAGAGAAGAGACCTCGCTCCCCAAACCCTAAGCCCTAACCGTTACTATACTCCCCTTAGAACCTTAACCAAATAAGTCTTTTTCATATCCTTTTGGGCTTTATATGAACAAAACTAAAAAAAGTCACTCCCAAGGAACATATAGGTTAACCTAAACCTTTAATCAGGCGGCTCCCCGACATCGCACCGAAGAGGCCGAACAGCTGGTAGTAGGCCGGACTCTCCTCAAAGCCAAGGCGCTGGGGCTTCTTGCCTAAGAGTAACCTTAGATACCCCGAACCAAAAAAAGGAAAACATAATTACCGGCAATAAGTGTACACACCATAACCTTATCATTAGGGTATATATATATATATACATATATATATATATGGGTCATATCGGTTACCCCAAGGTAGGCCTGAGGCCTTGTGGGCCACCCCCAACGACCTTGACTCATGGGGGTTCGGCCGCGGCTCAATCGTCCACACGGTCGCCACGATCGCCCAGGACAGGAGTTGCTGCGAGAGGCCCCAAATGCCAGACGCACCTCGCTCCCCCCCTACGGGGCTTAAACTTGATTTCCCGGGGGTGGCTAGGGGCTTCAGAGAACATAATATAGGAGTTCGTGAGAGGCTCAGGATGTAGGTGATTCTTGGTGTTTACAGCTCCGTATTGTGAATCCGACCAAGTCCGAACCCTTAGATGTCAGAGGCCATTGCCTCGTCCTCGCGGCATTTCAAGTAAGAGCTTCTCTTGCCATCCCTACAAGCAATCGCACCCAAACCAAGAGTGAAGACCCTACTGAAAGTTCAGAAATAGGGTTAGAGGTGCCCTACATAAAGATGTGAGTACAGTTGCCATACTTCGTCTAACCCTACTTGTAACTACCCCTGGTAGCCCTATACCCTAAACCCTAAACCCTGCTTAAGAAACTAGATACTCATGAACCGTGACATATAGACGGCTTGCGGTTTGGGGTTGAGGGCTTAGAGGGAGCCTGCTCCATGGCTTCTACGCTCTTCCCGGCTCTGAAGGGCCAAGACGCCACCCCAGATGACATCGGCGTAGGCGACGTCGAAGAGGTTGAGGCCCTCCTCGTACCAGGAGGTCCATGGGTATGTGATAGAGAAGTGGAGGATGTAGAACCTTGGCCACGGGCGGGGGGGGGGGGGGCTAGCTTTTTTTGCCAGAGAGATTCCCACCCTCGAGATGCCCACCACGAAACCCGGCCCTGAACCCTAATTAAACCCTAAATCCTAAACCCTACACCCTAACTCCGAGCCCCGATTCTGTGACCACCACTCCCAAAAGCCAAACACTCTCCCACAAGGGTCCATGGACCCAGATTTCCTGCTGGGTCTTAGTAGGGAATGCGGGAATGAGGTACCCTGTCTCGAACCCTAAACATGGAACCTCAGGGTATGTAAGCCAAAAGTCCTGCAGCCCCTCATTCAAGAGGTGGTAGGGGCATTTCCTAAAGTAGGAGTGCCCTTGCCCCCTGATACCCCAAACTGGAGAAGAAGCCCATACCAAAGGTACCTTCATTTTCGGACACTAAACCCCAAATATACCCTGTTATACCCTATTCTACCCTATTATGCCCCCAGTATACCCTTGTGTACCCTCCCATACCCTCATCTACCCTCTTATACACTACTAAATTATTAGACCTAGTAGGAGTCCCTTCTAATCAGGACCCCAGAAGGGGTTAGGGTTTAGGGTTTAGGGTTTCGGGTTTAGGGTTTCGGAAACCCCAATCTAAGTTTCGGTCCAGGGACCAGGTCACAGCGATGAGGCCGATGGACGAGGCCCTCCTAGCAGGGCCAGCCGGCTGCCTGCGGCTTCGGGTTTAGGGTTTAGGGTTTAGGGTTTAGGGTTTGGGGGTTTAGGGTTTGGGGTTTAGGGTTTAAGGTTTGGGGTTTAGGGTTTGGGGGTTTAGGGTTCAAGGGGTTAGGGGTTTAGGGGGTTAGGGGGTTCGGGTTTGGGGTTAAGGGTGCTTCCTCGAAAGGTTGTCTTGCTTGGTCACGGTGCTGCTATTTTGGGGTTTCGGGTTCGGGTCTTATACACGATGAAACGCGGAAGGCAAGAACTAGTCTGTCTTTTTGTGGTCTTTTGGGGAAGGGGGGGAAGCGTGCCCCCTGCTTGGACCTTGTTTACATCTAAGGGTAGTTGCATAGGTCCTTAATATGGTCCCTTACCTCCTTTAACGGGTTCTGATGTATGGGCCCTTGGGTTTTATAGGGTACGTAGGGGGTACATAAGGGGTCCCCATTTAAGGGCCCATATTAGGGGACCATGATAATTACTACCCTGAGAGTACCGAACACCTTTAGACACTATACTCCTCCCTGCTCTCAACTAACGCGGGCGGGGCGGTTGAAAGTAGGCTTCGTGTGCAAGGCTCCTTTCGAAACGACATAGAGTGATGCATACCCTCAGGCTCAAAATAGCCCAAAAAAACTTCTATCATTGGGCCCAAAAGCCCTGAATAAGAGTCGTTGCGACCTTAGGGATAGATTCAGATTCAGGTTCAGGGTCGAGGGTTTCGTGTCGGGGGGAGGGGGTCGAGGGCCGAGGCATTCGGCTTGCCTGTAAGAGGCGACCATGCACACCAGCAGGACCACAAAGTAGACCAAGAGGCCCAGGTAGTTCCTGAGAGGCCAAAACCCTAAACTCTAACCCGTAAATTCTAAACCCTAAACCCTAGATCCTAAACCCTAAACCCTAAACCCTGAAACCGACACACTGGTGCAGGTTTTGGGGGGAAGCAAGCGCATATGAGGGTTTAGGGATTATAGGGTTTAGGGCCAAGTTTAGGGTTTAGGGGGCTTCCGAACATTGGGGGTCCAGGCTTCGAGGGTTGCAGGATTTAGGGTTTAGAGGGTAGAGGGTTTAGGGTTTAGGGTTTGGGGTTCCTGCTAGCAAGAAGGGTTCAAAGTGCTTTTGGGACATTAACTGTACCCCCCAAAAGTTGGGAAAGACACACACTTTCGCTTACAGGCCCACTTAGAAGGCCTGTAAAACCTAACAGCTGAGCTGGGTCGATTGGGTAGGTTAAGCTTTGTCTATGGAAACAAACCCTAAACCCTAAACTCTAAACCATGGTGGGAATGATCTCGGAAAATCTGAAGGATCCACTGGGCTTCCTAGCAGGCTTGGATCACAGGCTCAGCGTTCTTGTCTTCGACACCCCCCGCCCCGGATGCCACACCCAAAACCCTAAACCCCTAAACCCCTAAACCCTATAAAAGGGCGTCTAGTCTAGGCACGGGTGTCCTGCAAAAGGAGTAACTTGGTCCAGGCATCGTTCGAGCTACAGTGCGGGGGTGTAAGGTCAACACTACTCTCCGGGTGCCCAGTACTACCCCTTATTCCCGTTTTTTGGGGGTTTAGGGTTTAGGGTTTAGGCTTTGGGGTGCAGGGTGTCGGGATTTCGGGTATACCTAGTTCATGGTTGGGATAATTTAAACATTTGTTTGTTATTCCTTATTGGGTTTGAGTACCCTGGAAAATGTAAAATGGTACCCAACTATGACAAAGATACTACGGGTTTCGGGGTTTAGGGGCTTTGAGATTTCTGGACTTTGCACTTTGTATCAGCCCAGCTTCAGCGGCGACAGCATGGCGGTGGCAGCTTGAGGCGCGCAAGAAGCGCGCTGGATCTGGGGCCCCTACACTACTCCCTATCTACGGAGATAAGGAAACCCTAAACCCTAAACCCTAAACCCTAAACCCTAACCCTAAACCCTAAACCCTAAACCCTAAACCCTAAACCCTAAACCCTACACCCTAAACCCTAAACCCTAAACCCTAAACCCTGACCGGTGCTTCACGGGTGCTTCAGTGAAAGGTTTGCCTGGGATGGCAAGGCTCGGTCTTGTGGTTGAGGGTTCCTGCGACTGGACTACTTGGGTTAGAAGTACCCTTTGGGGAGTTAGAGGTAATTGTAACTATAGCTGCCCTAATTATAAGCCTACGTGAAGTATTTCATATAGAACGAACTAGCAGAGACGTCAAAGGCCCACGCATGTTTGGGTGGCCAAGCTGCAGCACAAACGGCGGTTGTCGTCTACGCGACCACGCTCGACAGTAAGGAACAACTTCTGCCGGATGCCGGCCGAGGCAGCTCAGTCAACTCCCTTTGCAAATGTTCTGAGGCCAGCGCTCCTCCTAAGCCCTACAGCATAGGCTCTAAATGTAGCGGGAGCTACACGGATGGACGGTGAGCACTCGCATCTTCAAATCATTAAGTGCCCGTCCTGCTTTGAAAGCCTAAACCCTAAACCCTAAACCCTAAACCCTAAACCCTACACCCTAGACCCTAAACCCTAAACCTTAGGGTGGGGAGGCTTGAAGCCCCCCAACACCCTACACCCTCCTACGGCCATTGCGCACTCAAAAGGGGCGCTGCTCAGCTGTGCTTCCAAGTCGGCGTTCGCTTCTCTGTGAAGGCCTTCTTACAGGATCAGGCGGCTTCGTAAGTAGGGTTATTTGGGGCAACTATAGCTACAATTACTTATAACCCCAATTAGGGTACTTATAACCCTACTTACGAAGTCTCATGATCCTCCAAGTTGTCTGGGCCAGCCCCAAACCCTAAACCCTAAACGCTAAACCCTCAACCCTAAACCGGGCCGATTTTTGGCTTTTGGGATTTCAGGGTGAGGGTTTGGGGTTGAGGGGGTTTCTTGGACTTTTGGGGATTGGGACTTTAGGGTATTTTGGGCTTATGGGATTTAGGGTTTAGGGATTAGGGTTCTTTCGGACTTTTAGGATTGGAAGTGTTTGCGGTGGTCCGGAATGGTGTAAGGCTCTTAGGGTCTAGAGGGGGCTTACAGGGGTTTTAGGGTTGAAGCGTTCGGGATCAGTCTTTTCTTCTAGAAGAGAGGGGGGGTTTGGGGTGGCTACGATGTGTACATCTATATATATATATATACATATATATATGTACTTATTGATGTATCTTATACCATAGAACTTGTAATATTAATACGTGTAAATATAAATAAATAAACAAATAAATAAATAAATAAATATATATATATATATATAATATGTATATATGTATATATATATATATATTCACTTTTTCGACTTGCTATTTGTTATAAGCTACTTCTGGGCACACGGGAGGTCCCAGGTCGTGCAAACACAGCTTCTCGCCTGAAATCCCTCTTGGCGGTCTTTGAGCCCCCAGGTGGCGTGGAAGAGATGCCTCTCCAGCCTGCGCCAAGGGGAAGCATGCTGGGGAACCTGATCCCCTCCCCCCCTCCCCCTCGAGAACCCTAGGTGTAAAGCTTTCAGGGCCCACACTGGGAGCTTCATGGGTAGTTGCAGATATAGCTGAGGGTATAAACCGGTTGCAACCTTATTTGGGGCATTTCTAACCCTACTTGTAAATAAGCCTGGCGGGCGTTTTGTCGAAAAGGGTCGGTGTACGAACCCCCCCCCCCTCCCAATCCGCCCCTCCGTTCTGCGTCAACGAAACAAAACAGTAACAGTGGGGGCCTATTTGGAAGGATTTTGGGTTTAGGGATTACTTCGAATGGAAGCGCATGGCAGATGCTCGAGTCCTATGCTTCCACCTACTTATTGTGTCCCTGAGGATTCTAGTAACCTACATCTCCCTAAACCCTAAACCCTAAACCCTACACCCCTGGTTTCGTGACTGCGGGGTCGCGCCGGAACTCTCATGAGGAGAGGTGAAACGACATTGAAGGCTTTCACGGAGCACTTGAGCGCTTTCACCTGCGGCTTGCTCTCCAAGCCCTATAAACAGGAAACCCTCAACCCTACAAACCATAAACCCTAAACCTTGCAATGCGCACAGGCCTGTTGAAGCCCTAAACCCTAAACCCTAAACCCTAAACCCACCTAAAGCCTGCAGCCGAAAAAACCCAAAAGCCGCAATGCAGGCAAGGGCTTCGCAAAGTATGTGTGTGTATATACAATATATACATATATATATATATAAGTACACACATACATATGCGTGTATGCAATATCTGCATATGTGTGTACATACATACATACATACATACATACATACATACATACATACATACATACATACATACATACATACATACATACATACATACATACATACATACGTACATTTCTTAGGGCCTGTCTACCCTAGCCCAAAATCGTTAACCCTGTATATATACATATATATAAGGATTCTATCTAGCCAAAAATAGGTTAAAGGTTACCTACCCAGATTCTTAGACTGAACCCTGAACCCCTAAATCCTATACTGCTAGTTGCATAAGAACCCTCCCCCCCCCCCCTGCCCCCCAAGAATATTAAATGCAATTTAAATGTACATATATATGTACAAAAACATACAACAACATGGAAGATTTCAGGCAGCTGGGAAATTCGGCCTTACGCTCGAGGGTGTCTGTGAAGCTTACGGTTGGATGTCGGGTGTCGGGTTTAGGGTGCAGGGGTTAGGGTTTAGGGTTTAGGGTCCAGGGTCTAGGGTGCAGAATCGGCGGATACTTGGCTTGGCGAGCGGCTTGAGTGGCTTCAGGCCCATTTCCTTGCGGATCTCGTTCCACTCTTCCACAGACAAGCCGTCCTGTGCAAGTCAGGCTCAGAATGCAAAGAATCTTCCAGGTATCGAGAAGCAGATTTGACAGCATCTTCACTTGAAAAAAACACAGCAGGACTTTCCCCAGATTTTTCGGGTGGGGCCGAGGTGGTTGACGCGCAGCGTCTTCAATGATGGCGCATGGACACTCTGGACGTCTCTACTCACATGAGGGGGAAAGATAACTTCCCCCCATTCAGTAGTAGTAGTAGTCGTCGTCGTCAAAAAGGTGGGGGTCAGACGTCATTCTTCACTTTACCCTAAACAATAAACACGTCATTCTTCACTTTACCCTAAACAATAAACCCTAAATCCTAAACCCTAAACCCTAAACCCTCTGCTTCAGTCCTTGTCTTTCTTGGCATGGCCGCTGGCCCGCTCCTCGTCAGCCTTATTGGCCTGCAAGGGTTTGGGAACATAGGGGAATCAATAGGGCTTAGGGTTTAGGGTTTAGGGTTTAGGGTTTAGGGTTTAGGGTTTAGGGTTTAGGGTTTGGGGTTTAGGGTTTAGGGTTTTGGGGGGATATTATCGTATATTTACAAAGGAAATTATTCGACCCCTGCAAAAAGCTTGCTGCGCAAAAAGACGGGGTTCTTTTGTCATCGCTAAGGAACTTGAAGTAGGTGCAATCGCGTTAGATGGTAAGCAAAAAAAGTGTCGGTAGCATGGTAACTCAATCTGAATCTCCTGAACAAGAATCCGGGAGAGCGCAGGAAGCATCTGCGCGAGGCAAAAGATGTTCCCGAGGAAACGTTTGGGAGCTAACATCTACTTGGGGGTTCGTGGTACTTACTAACCACTTATAACTGGGCTTATAACCCTACTGAAAATTGGGATAACCCCTCGAAGGCCCTTTAGGGGTACTATATGTAGGGTTAGAAGTACAGTTATAGTTGGTTAGTAAGTACCATGAACCTCCCAGTATACTCACCTGGGAGCCTTACCAAAAAAGTGCGAATTGCCCTGTGGGTCTTGTATAAGCAAGAAGATGATGAGATTTCGGGGGAGATTGGGACTAGTTTCTAGGATGGCCGCTAAAGTGCCCTCTGAAACATATTCCTGAATATACCCCTCTTAAGGGAAAATGTAAAATGTCCCAAGGCCTACCTGGATTTTGACAGTTATGCTGCAGGAAGAGGCTGAGCCACAGGCGTACTTGGTCTTCTTGCTCTTCCTCTCGTCATCCTTGGTCTTCGCCTGGAAGAGGAACTATTTTGGGCTTGCACCGAGGGATCAGAACCTGCTGCGTTGCGAATTCAAGACAAACAGACTTATGAATAGGTTGCCATTGTAAGGCAAGAAAAGAAAGCAACACTCATCCCAAAGCACAGCACAAGCCAGTATGTTATAATAAGGGTCTTGATACCTTGAAAGGTTTGCAGGGGGCAGGGGGTGTTGCCATCGTGGTGTGGCCGGTGATGATAACAGTGACTGGCAGTGACTGGTACCAACTTGGACCAGCCGCACATGAGTAGCACCGCCCAGCAGAACAAGTCTTGCCTCTCAAATTCTGTTGAGATTGAAGCTTCAAAGCCCTGAAGCTCCACAAAATCTGAGCTCGTCCGGAGCAGCTGCATGTGAGCATCTCCCACAACAAGGCTACCCGCCCCCTTAGAAGCCTTCTTATAGGAACCCCCCCCCCCCCCCTCCCCACTCTGAAAAAATATCTTTGGGAAACCCCGAATGCCACTTCCGGGTCCTTGTCTTTCTTCGCCCTGTCGTCATCGCCTCTGTTGGCCTCCCGGGTGATGAGGTGTATGGCTGAGGTGGGAAGCCTAGGTGTCTGGTGCGCTTGAGGAAAAAAAGAGAGACTTATACCCCAGAATCAACCCTATACTTCCAGGGCCTAGTAAGCAGGTTTCTAGAACCCCCAAAGGACGCAATGGTTTAGGTCCCTGGAAGTGTAGGGTAAGTGTACATCTAATTTGTTCAAGGGATGTGAGCTACTCGAGGTATAGGTGTCGAAATGAAGACCCTAAATCCTAAACCCTAAACCATAAACCCTAAAACCCAAAACCCAAAACCTCAACCCTCAACCCTCAACCCTAAACCCTAAACCCTACACTGGGTCCTTTGAGGGGTCTTAGGGCCTCGGGGATGGGACGCGCTTCACCGAGCCCAACCCTGACTTCTGTGTTCTGTGCTTCAGCAACTGGACTCATGATATTGAAGGTAAAAGACTAAGCCCTAAACCCTGAACCCGAAACCCTAAACCCTAAACCCTGAACCCTAAACCCTAAACCCAAATTGCGTACTGAGGGATCTACCATAAACTTGCACGCAGTGCCATGTGAGCATCTCCCACAACAAGGCTACCCCGTTTCAAACCTTCTTATAGGAACCCCCCCCTCCTCCCTCCCTCCCACCCCCCTCCCCCCCCCCCCCCCCAAAAAAAAAAAAAAAACAAGTACCCAACTTTGGGAAACCCCGAATGCCACTTCCGGGTCCTTGTCTTTCTTCGCCCTGTCGTCATCTCCTCTGTTGGCCTCCAGGGTGATGAGGTTTAGGGTTTAGGGTTTAGGGTTTAGGGTTTAGGGCTCGGTGTATGGCTGAGGGGCAAACTCCACTTCGCAAAAAACTAGGAAGGCCACCGCAGACCCAGACCCGGGCAGCGACCCGGTCCCCGACTGCAACTACATGTTTTTTTGTATTATTGTTATTTTGTGTTTGCCATTTAGGGGTGTAGCATGTGGGACGATAGTGATGAAATTCCTATTGCTCATAATGTAGAATGGCCATTTTGAGGTGTAGGGTTTCGGACGTAAGGAATAAATCGTGCGCTTTCTGTGATTTCTTGATTTACTAGTTCCACTCTCTTCCAGAAGAAGAACTCCGACCGTTCTGCGCGCGGCGTTCTGCACTGAAGCTTCATGGATGAGGCCGAGCGAGCCCCAATGAATGTTAAAGAACATAACCCCAAACCCTAAGCCCTAAACCCTAAACCCTAAACCGTGGCTCTTGTAAGAGGATCCCAGCATGAGTTACAGCAACATTTCCTTCATTCGGGGGTCTTGGGCTCGAATCACAAGGCCACCGGGACCCGCGCCGTAGGTGGCATGGACGCGCTCAGGGAGTCGAAACGTTGCCCCTCCGAACGCTGGCGTTGTCCGACAGTGCGAAGCAGTGTCCGCCCGTCGCTCTGGAATTCGTGTGGTGTTGCGGGACTGCCGACGTTCACGTCCCGTGGCTAGGGCCGGCCCGGCTGCCAGGGTGGTGCGCAAGCGCGTGCAAGCATAAACGCGCAATCCTAGGTGCAGACCGCAGCGTCCGTCACTGTGCTCGAAGAGGCCAGGGCAGTGGTATGGCACATAGCCAGGCACATCTTGCTGGTTGAGTTTCATGGGCGAGTGGTCTGGCAGGAATGCGCGGCATTCAGGTGCCCCGCTGATTTTTGTTTCGTTCCGGTGCATGTTCGGAATCCGCTCGGTGCTGCAGGAGTATGCTGCAGACCAGTTCTTGTTCACAAATACACCAGGTGAAGAATATTGAGGTATTTCGCTTGCATAAACATTTACATTAGTTAATGAGCGATACATACTTGTGTTGGCATTTTATCCTGTTTACGGACCTAAAACTAGCTTCACGACAATGCTTGAACACCACATCTATATAGATGCAAACAAAGAGATACAGAGAGAAACGCTTGCATGAGCAAGCAAAACACACACGTGTAAGTACTAATGTGGAACATGTGTGTGTGTGTGTATGTCTTTATATGTACTTATGTACACATATATATATATATATACATATACATATATAGAGTGCAACTACATACATATGCACTCGAAGTAAAGGCTTTGGTGCTTTTGCAGCTGGAACCTTGTCCTTCTTGTCACGCTTTTCCCTTCGTTCCTCTCGATCTTCACGATCCTCGTGACGCTTCCTCTTGGCAGCTTCCTCCTCCCGGTCCCTGCGATCTCTACGATCCCGGTCGCGGTCTCTCCTCGCATCATCGCGCCGGTCTCTGCGGTCATCGCGGTCACGATCTCCACGCCCATCGTCGCGGGAAGCATCGTCTTCCTCCCTTCGGTCCTTCCTGGGCTTACTTGGCTCAGCCACTTGGGAGCTGGAGGCCGCTGGTGGCACCACTTCCTCCGCCGGCTTCTCCTCCTCTTTCTTGCCGGCCGCGTCCTTGGCGTCCTTGGCGCCCTGGAGCTCCTGGCACCAAAGATGCACAGCCTTTTGAGGCATCGGGTCGGATTGAGGGCAAATAGGGCAAGTAGGGTAGTTAGGAGAACTAGGGGGATTAGGGTAATAAGGCCAACTAGGGTTTGGGGCTGTTTAGGGGCCTTTTTGGACACACAGACAGCTGGGAGCAAGTTTCTCAACATTTTCGGGCCTAAACCTCCGGTTTAGGGTTCAGGGTTCAGGGTTCAGGGTTTAGGGTTTAGGGTTTAGGGTTTAGGGTTTAGGGTTTAGGGTTTAGGGGACAGCTTACGCTACAACCCTCTAAGCTGGCTCGATGGGCATGGGCAGCGCCCCGTCTTCAACGAGGAGAACCCACGCAGCTTCCTTTGAAGGCAAAGCGAAACCCGAAGAAGGCAGATAGAAGCCTGGCTCGACGCATATGAACCCTAAACCCTAAACTATAAACCCTAAACCCTAAACCCTATAAACTATAAACCCTAAACCCTAAACCCTAAACCCTAAACCCTAAACCCCAACAAACCCTCAGAGGTGAGCGCCCGAGCCGTTCAATGTGCCCCGGCTCTGGCTCAGCCTTTCTTTCAAACAATAACGACTGAGTTATGCCTGTTAAAGCCTATGCCAAAAAAGGCTGCTTCAGAGTAAGGCAGGGCGGTGGGTCAAAATCGCGCGGTCGCCTAGGCACCGGCGCGGCCGTTGGATCCGGGAGTCGCAGCTTTCATAAGCGCTCTCGCCGGTCGCCCCATGAACCCTAAACCTGATAGAAACCTTAGACCCCAAACCCCAGAAACCCAAAACCCAAAGCTCCAGACCCGAGCGAGAAACCATCGAAACCCTAGAAACCCTGGAAACCGTAGAAACCCTAAAAACCCAAAACCCCGCACCCTAAACCCTAGCTAGAAACCTTTGTTGGGCTCCCGGAACGCTCTTGGACTGTTGGAATGCTCTCGGGGTACACATGGGGCAGAGCCATGCTAAAAGATGCCCATGCCACCCATGTTAGGGTTTAGGATCTGGGGCTAAGGGCTGACCTGGACCCCCAAAGTATGTGAAAAAATGGCCAAAAGCCCATAAAAAGCATCATTATTTTGCATACTTTGGGTTTAGGTAGGGCTTAGGGCTTAGGGTTTAGGGTTGGCTCTTGAAGTGGTCGTGCAGCGCGTGGGGCCCTTGCGGCAGCAAAACTTGTTATCAGAATCCGCAACCTGTTTAGGGTATTCCACTGAGCCCCAAACCCCAAACCCCAAACCATAAAGACCCCGTACTCCAAACCCCCTAACCCTAAACCCTGAATCAGATCTCATCCATGAACCCTAAACCCTATTCCCAAAGTCTCAAAAGTCCCAAAGGACTTTCAGAGCTCGCAAACACCCCCCCCCCCTCCCCCCGAGCCTGCAAAGATCTTTCAAGATCCTCTAAGTCTTCCAGGTCGTCTTCTAACACCTGATACACGGTTCTAGGGTCTTAGGGTTTAGGGTTTCAGGGTTTCAGGGTTTCAGGGTTTCAGGGTTTTAGGGTTTTAGGGCTCTAGGGTTTTAGGGTTTGAGGGCCTCTCGGGTTATAGGCTTCGGCGTGGGGGTGTAGGATAAACCCTAAAACCCTAAACCCTAAACCCTAAACCCCTAAGTCCATTTAGGCGCCTGTATTACAAAGTGTTCAAGGCTCAGGGTTGAAGCGCAGGACTGGAGGGCACAAAGCTCCAACCTCCACAGCCGAAACCCCCTCCCCCCCTAATCTTTCGAAACGGTTGTGGGGTGGCCCTAAACCCTATACAGGGTTTGAGGGTTTAGGGTTTAGGGCCTATTCACAATCATATGAGCCCTGCTTAGATTTTGGGGGTATGGGGTTTATAGGCCCCTTGTGCCATCGAAAGGTAAAGGTAAGGCCCGCGCACTTTGGTAGGGCGGCAGCATTCCCGTCTGCTCGAGAATCTCCCTTTTCGGCATCTGCGGCATTGTGACCTCAGCGCTTAGCCCTGAAAAAAAGACCTGCAAGCACTTAAATGTGGAGCTCTGGGGCCCTAAACCCTAAACCCTAAACCCTAAACCCTTTAAACCCAAAACCCTAAACCCTAAACCCTGAACCCTAAACACTGAACCCTAAACCCTAAACCCCCAATATCCCACATAAGGTTGCAAGAGCCCTTAAGGACGAAGTTGGGACTAAGTATGTCCCTGGAAGTATAGTGTCTAACCAGCCACCTTTTTGACAGCAATCCCAAGGATTTGGGCATTTCCCAAAATAGGGGTACCCCTTTCATACCCCAAATAGAATGGAATCCCCTTAAAGAGACACCCAAACAGGGTTCTTAATTTCGGAAACCCCCATTTCAGTACCCTAAACCCTAAACCCTAAGCCCCTAAACCCCTAAACCCCTAAACCCCTAAACCCCTAAACCCCTAAACCCCTAAACCCCTAAACCCCTAAACCCCTAAACCCTAAACCCTAAACCCTAAACCCTAAATCCTAAACCCTAAACCCCCCATATTTCGGAATTCCTCATATGGGCCCTGGGGTGTGGACGTCGCAGACGGTCTCTTCACGCAGCAGCCAGTCTACGAACTCGTCCATGTGAATGATGGAACTGAGGGTTTAGGGTTTAGGGTTTAGGGTTGAGGGTTTAGGGTTTGGGGTTTCGGGTTTAGGGTGTAGGGAGGTTTGGGAAAGACATGCCCACAAATGACTAGATATGCGTATGCACGTATGCATGCATCTACAGATATGTGCACAACATACTACAAGTAGATTCGTAAACTAGGACCACGCGAGGGTTCCAGGATATTGGTATTTGGGGTTCGGAGGTATTAGCGTTTAATGATAAGCATGTATGTTTCCTCGTTTCTCCAGCTCCTGGTAGGCATTGGGAAAAACAGGCCTACTTACTTTAGCTGTCGCGAAGCACCCTGCTACAGTAAAACCACTGTATAAGAAACCACTGTTTAAGAAACTGAGCCCCCAGACCCGAGAACATTGGTCGATTTGCGGTTGCCTTCTAGCTAAGAAACTTAGGGTACGGTTTTGGGGTCAGTTTCTAAAAAAAACCCTGCCCGCAACGCCCCCCGGGTCCGCCCCAAAACGCGGCGGGAGTCACATTCTGGAGGTTTTCAGCCCTGAAAAGCTCTAAAACGTGACTCCCCCGCGCCTCTGGCCTGACCCTACCCCAAAACGCGCGGGAGTCACATTCGTTTACGCTCAGGTTCCAGTGTTTTAGGGATGACGCGGTTCTATCTGACTTCCTTCCTCTTGCCTCTGTATTCCCTCCTTAGTAGAGCATCTATGCAGTTTGGGAGCGGAGTAGACAAAACTGGGTTGTCCCTGTGAGATCTTCCCCAATAGGGTTCGCTTAAGCGCCACAAGAGAAAACACACAGAAGAAATCCCAAGGGTCCCTAAACCCTAAACCTAAACCCTAAACCCTAAACCTTAGACCCTAAACCCTAAACCCTAAACCCTAAATCCGGAATCGGCCAGCAAGGTACATCTTGCCGTACATGTCCCGATATCGCAGCTTTCGATAGTCGGCGAACAGGGGCTCGAAGGTCTGGAAGATGGTCGGATACCTGCGGTTTAGGGTTTAGGGTGTAGGGTTTAGGGTTTAAAGGCTTTAGGGCATAGGGCTTAGGAGGTAGGTTGGCCCATCGAGCCATGAGAAAAAACGAGTCATATCCTTCAACCAGTTTCCCCTTAAACCGAACAAAAGGGAGAAGATGACCTGGGCATGAGAGAAGGGGTGTCGTGGGTACAACCCTAAACCCTAAACCCTAAACCCTAAACCCTAGTTTTTGGTATCCCCATATACCCCCTGACTCGGAACTTCATGATCTCGTTCAGGACGCACTTCGTGCAGTCACTGGCTTAGACTTGTCGGTTCTTGCGTTCAGGTGCTGGAATAGTCCAACTTTTCGGAGAATCAGCTACATTCCTGACGAGATACAGATGCTACCATTTGGGAGTTGTTCTCCTTGAAAAGGTGCCAGTAGGGTTTAGGGTTTAGGGTTTGATGCTGAGAAAGGATCTTCCCCCACCCGACCCAAAACCCACCCCTCCACCTCCCCACCTCCCCACCTCCCCACCTCCCCACCTCCACCCCCAAACCCCAAACCCCAAACCCCCAAACCCCAAACCCCAAACCCCAAAACCCCAAACCCCAAACCCCAAACCCCAAACCCCAAACCCTAAACCCTAAACCCTGGCTCTGAGTTCCGGCCTGGCTGTGATGCGGAGATACGCGCAGCCGAGAGCTCGCAAGTACTTGAGCTCTGGCTGCTTGATGTACTCCAGCACAACGTCCTAGGGACCAGGCACCAGAGAACTGGGTTTAAGGTTTAGGGTTTAGGGTTTAGGGTTTAGGGTTTAGGGTTTAGGGTTTAGGGTTTAGGGTTTAGGGTCCCTTAAGCCTTTATGAAGGCAGAAGACTGTGGGTCCTCACCTCCAAGGGCTTAGTGTTTCTCAGGAGTGTGGGCCCCAAAACACTGAACCCCCCGCCCCCCTACCCCCAAAGGAACTCTCGGGTGAACCGAAGGCCACCTTTCGAGCAGTTACACGGGTAAGATGCGCAAGAAATCCACCAGACCCTAAACCCTGAACCCTAAACCCTAGCCCTAGCCCTAAACCCTAATCATAAACCCTAAACCCTAAACCCTAAACCCTAAACCCTAAACCCTAAACCCTAAACCCTAAACCCTAAACCCTAAACCCTAAACCCTAAACCCAAACTAAGCATCTCAACACCCTCGCAATGCTCCAGCCCTCAAGGGCCCTCTAGCCTCCTCCGGCTGAATCTGAAGGAGCTTCAGGAAAAGGCACCTCAGGTTTAGGGCTAGGGTTTAGGGTTTAGGGTTTAGGGTTTAGGGTTCATGGGTTCAGGGTTTAGGGTGTAGGTTTGCTTTAGAAGGGAACCTCGAACCAACAAAAACACAGCAAAAGGGTACCACTGGGCCACCGAGGCACAGAAATCGAGCCGGCCGACGTCGTCCGCCATACCTTCGGGCGCCGACTTGGAGAGAATATTTTGGCTGGCGCCCGAGATGTCTTAAGAAGGAGGAAACTTGGGACTTGGGATGCTCCCCCCTTAGATTAACAGCTCCTTAAAAGGAAGTACAGCACGGGGTACTAGAATCCCTGTTCAGGGCTGTTAGTATAAGGGGGAACTTGCCAAGAGGAAACTCCCAAGGTCCTGCCCACAGGGGTCATACTAGGGTTTCTCTTGGAAGCTTCAGCAAGTGCATATTGAGAGCATCATTCCCTGCCGTTAGGTTCTTGATAAGGAAATTATACGAGGATGGCCCTTAAAGCCCTGTGAAAAGTATTGCTGAATATGATCCTTCTAAACCCCAAAAAAGGGGAAACAACAAATATCCAAGGGGCCTACCTAGTATATGGGCTTATATGGTACCTAGCAACCCTAAACCCTAAACCCTAAACCCGAAGCCCTAAACCCTAAGCCCTAAGCCCTAAACCCTCTATCAAGCCGAAGCCCAACACCCCGGGACCACTGCAGACCAGCTTCGTTCCGGCAACGTAGTCCAGCTTCGCCGCCTTGGGCATCGAGCTCGGATCGAGCTGCTTCCGGGATACTCTGGGCTAGAAAGCTTCAGGGCTTAGACATCTTGACCCTGAGCTCTAAAGAAAGAATCTTGAATTCGGGAGGTTTCGGGGACTGGAAGTCAAGGATCTGTGTTCAGGGTGGCCACTTATTTATTGTGTGTGTGTGTGTGTGTGTGTCTTTTTTTTGGGGGGGTGGGGTCGACACAAGCACCGAAGTTCCCCACACGTTCAAACATGAAAGCTTTGACAATGTCCAACCCTGTCCTCCGCACGCGCACAACGCGTCACATGCTTCTGCCTAGATTAGTCTATAGACCCTTTTACAGAAGGTTAAGTAAGAACAGGGATGAACCTAGAGGCCTGTTGAATAGAATTGGTATATGGTTATGATGTAGGAACCATATGAGGACACTATCGGCAATATAGGTTCCTACACTTGGCCCGGGCGGCGGTGATGCAACTGCTTGAATCGTTCTGTGGCGTTTTTGCTTTAGTTGTCTATTATATTGTTGTGTTTTTTGCGGAGGGGCGCTTTAGAAACAATTTCTATGGGTTATGTATAGGGTTATAATTAACGGGATAAGGAGCCATGGAAAATTGCATGACTGTTCGATGGTATACTAAACAAAGAAAGAAACTCAGAGAGAGAGAGAGAGACACACACACACACACTGACACACTGACACAAACACACAGAGAGACAGGCACAGAGAGAGCGAGAGAGAGAGAGAGAGACATCCATGTATACATATACATATATATATATATGTCTGCGTATATATATATATATATGTGTTTGTACACGTAGATGGATAGTGATAGATGTTTTGATATTTCTACATACGTCTATGAACTCCGAGTGCAGTAACATGTCCAGCCCAAGGACCGCTCGATCCGACACTGCGAAACGAGTTTAGGGCTTGGGGTTTCGGGTTTAGGGTTTAGGGCATGGGGTTTAGGGTTTAGGGTTTAGGGTTTGGGGTTTGGGTTTGGGGCTTAGGATTCAGGGTTTGGGGTTTAGGGTTTGGAGGTGTAGGGCTGCCACGCCTCGTCGATGAGAGACTCGGTCGTCAGGCCGAAGCAGAACTCTTTCCAATAGGCCTGGGGACTCGGCATTTGCCGGCTCTTGGGTTGAGGCTTTTGGGTTCAGGGGTTCAGGGGTTCAGGGTTTAGGGTTTAGGGTTTATAGTGTTTATAGGGCTTAGGGTTTATAGGGTTTATAGGGTTTATAGGGTTTATAGGGTTTATAGGGTTTATAGGGTTTATATTTTTTTTTACAGCAGGTCACTTGCCAGCCACACGAGCCTCGAAGCAATGTCCACCGCGATCTGAAAGCTGAGCTTTGCGCGAAGACGAAATTATGCGAATTCAGGCCATGAGAAAGATAGGAGAAGAAGAGAAGAAAGATGGGAGGAGACAAACTACACTATTTGGGGAGAAATTCCCAGGATGGCGTAAAGTGAGCATTGGGGCGGCTCCGCGCTAATGCATTGCGACTAGCATGACTGGAACAACGGCTGAGAAGAAAACCCCATACGATGTGAGGACAGCTAAAGTTCCTACGCGCGCAAATGCCAGCAGCCGAACCGCCTGTAAAGCACTTGAGGTGTGAAATATTTGTAAACCCCTTTGCAGGTGCGCCAGCTGCTGCGAGCAGCTTTACAGAATGATCTCGAAAACGTCGGGTAAGAAGGCTTAAGCGGGTATGGGGTTCGAGCAAACCCTTTACAACCCCAAACTCACCTATGAAATCGAAAACCAACTCCTGCCATGTGATTCTAGCATCTGAAACACTCGCGTCATTAGGGTAGTGCCACCGGTCTTGAGACCAGAACTCCAGCAAGTTTTGCAGAAATCGGGAGTTGGGGTGCCTTGACCAGTCAGTACTTTGTACAGCGACTGCAGGCCCTAGTCCCCATGAGTGAGCTCGCGCGAATACTGCCCAATATGCTGGGTAACGTTGATGGAGGCACTGCCACAGATTTTGATGTACGGGGCGTGACAATCGTACACATTCAAGAAACACCTGGTCAGAAACTTGAAGTGTCGAACCCTTACAAACTAGGCAGTGTCCCTGACAACAATTGCTCTTTGACCGGATGCGAACAGTTGGTACGCAGCGACACTGAGTGTCTGTAGCTGGTTTTCCCGCATCAAAGGGGATCTGCAAACAGTTTAGGCGTTTGACAAGGGAAGCTACAAGGTGCGTCTGCAGGTCCAGACCTGCAGACACTTCGCCTACGAGAGCGTCGCGCTTGGTCTGTAGCAAGCTACGCGCTGCCTCTTTAGCCAGCTCATCTGCAGCTGCATTATTCTTAGTGAACCATGGATGTTGCACGTGTAGCCTACCCGACACATGCGCTTTAACCTTGGAAATGGTAACCACCCCGGCTCGTCCCTTGTACGCTGCAGAGACTGCAGTCCACAAATCGGGGTTGTCCAGCTTTGCAATTAAAGCGGGGTCGAATTCATGCCGGCTGAGCCATGAAAACGTGTTTACAACATGCGCGCAGTCAGAAACTATGCACAAGTCACCTCGGGACAGAGCTAACGCCAGATAAACAGCATGTATTTCAGCCCGAGTAGATGAGTGATCTGCACCCGGGGTGGCTTCTGCATAGGTTTTTAAACCGGGAAACACGACGGCGGAGGCCGAGGCTCGTAAAGGGGCCCATTTCTCATAGAAGCATGACCCGTCCGTAAAAGCATACTCTGCAATAACAGGTTCACTAGGGGGAGCGGCAAGCGACCTACGGGAGTAGTCAGCCTTACGAATTTCTTTGGTGACCTGGGATTCAAGTAGAATTGCTGTATTCCAAGACATCTGCGGGTGATGCTGAGATGGGCGTGTGTCCTTGTAAAAGGGACACTCTTGAAATATATGTGTGTGGGTCTCTTTGCACCCACAGTGTAAACACGTGTCATCGCTGCACATGCCGGCGGCGAATCTGCGAGAATTGGAGTAAATGGAGCCTTGTAGCAAGGCACGCGTAATGGCGCCTGTGAGTGACTTGTTGGGTAGCCTATCGAAGAAGGGCTGCAAACAAGACCATTCGTCCTCTGATTGGAGGGAAGAATCCAGTAGAAAACGGGTTCTGTAAATGTCTACATCTCCTTGGACAGGCGTGCAAAAGTCATGGCGTTGAGGTATTTTGGAATATAAGTATCGCCGGGCTGACCTGGCGAGTTCCTCTTTGAAGAAGCGGTGGCTAAAAAGATCAAGGCGGAGGTCTGTGTCATTCTTGCGGTGAAGACACGCCACATTGGTGTCGCTGATCTCCAGCTCGAGCTCCCGACAAAGATATGCGATGACGTTATGCCTTCCACCCCTCGTGGCTGGCAAGCGTGCTGGAGAGGCCTTGAGAATCTCCCGAGCTTTTGCCAAATCTTTTTCTGCCAAGTGGCTTCCTTTGAGAAGTTCTTTGCGCAACGAAAAGAAGACATGTAGAGCCCATTTCGCGAAAGGGTCAACATACACGTCACTGCATGCCGCTGTAAAGGCAAAGGGGCTCCGCATCACATTTCTGGCCTTCGAGAGGGCGGACACTACAGCCGTTCTCAGCTTGGACAAGTCAGCATTTGTCGGCGCCTGGACTTCCGTGCCGTAGACCCATTTCGAGTGAGCATTGCAATGTATGTGCAACAGTTTATCCTTTTCGTGCACTGGCAGGCGCGAAATCTTTTTAAGAACGGGCAAGGCTTTCTCCACCCTTGCTGACTGTTGTTTGGCAGACGGACGCCTGGAAGCACGCTGCGCATACCCAAGGGACTTGGTTCCATGCTTGAAGGAAAAGGGATGCTTGACATCACGCAAAAACCGGGCTGCTTTCTTCTTGAACCTGGACATAACGACAGTTTTTTCAACGTTGAGTACTTGTCCTACGGAAGTGTCAAAGGAAACGATTTCTTGGAAAGCCTGTAGAAGTTCTGTATGGTGACGGCTAGATGACCAGACCTTGCAGTCGTCGATAAAGCTAGCCAAGGAAACAGTTGGGGATACAAGGCTGACATGATGAGCTAAAACCGCAAACATGCTGTTCACGAGGATTATGGACATACTACAACCTTGCACCGCAGCGTTTGTTGACATGACATTGTTGCCATAATACGGCCCCAACTTAAAAAATTTCATCTGTTGACAGTAGAAGCCCCGTATGGCAACCGCAACCTGTAAAGGCAATCCTAGGTCAGAAGCAATGGATATGGCGAGCTCAGGGATGATTAGATCAAAACACTTCCACCGATCTATAAAAACGGATAAGTGATCATCTAGGTTCTCGTGAAGGTCCTGTGCAAAAAGAAGCTCGCTACTCTGAGCATTTCGGCCGCGCAGGCCGCCATACAACGCTGCGGGTGAGATATCAATGTGCCACTGAGACAAGTGTCGAAACCGCAACGAGGACCAAGCGCTATACACGACGGATGAAACCCCGATTGCTCGAGTGACCTCAGGCGAAGCATTTCCTAAACCCTTGGAGATAGATGAGACGGCAATCGTTCGAATAGTTTGGGGCCACTGGCCTAAGCCTTCTGCAAGCTGCATGACGACTACAAAGGCTTTCCACCCCACAGGTGGCAAGTGCTTCAGTTCACGTGTCAACCATCCATCTAACCCACCAGCTTTGCAAAGAGGTCTTTTCTGAACTAAGCGAAAAACTTCCAAGTGCGAAAGCTCTGGAAGCTTGCACTCTCGACGAACAGCTTGGATTGAGCGCTGATATTTGCTACGGAAGTCGGATACCATAGACGAAACATCTTTACCTGCGTGAAAGTTGTAAATCGTAGACATGTGGTCTGACAGCATAGCCAGCATCTGATTTGGGTCACAGGTAAAGCCTTCCGGGGTACTGAAAGCCTTGGGGTAACCTAAAGGTTCATCACGCAGCCAACGGTGCACATTTCTGCGATCAGATCTAGTCGAAACTCGTATTCTTTGCTTCCATTGAGCAACCCTGGATCGCGATCGTTCTTTGCAGAATGAACTCTCTAGATAACATAGTGCTTTTTCAGCCAACTCCAGAAACTTAGTCCACTGATCCAAATGTGCACCAGGGTGGGGGAGCTCTAACGCTTGGCCATGCCTGTTCAGCCGCAAGTTGAGATTCCTAGCGGTGGCCCATAAGTTCTCAACAGGTAGACAGCGCTGCAGTCTACATAGTTTTGCGCGAACCTCGTGGCACAATTTCCTGGCTTTGCCAAAAGAGTGCATGGGGCTATGGGTGGAGGCCCTGGGGACAGCTACAGCAGTTTTTCTGAAAGAAGGTACGTTTCCCCGAGAACTTGGGACATCTTGCTTACAAATTGTGTTGAGCATACTGGTGGCTATTTTACATGCAATTGTCCAAGCAACTTCTACATCAAGCTGTTCAGCTGCTGTTACTAGCGCCAACTTCTCTCGCTCAAAACACTCAAGACATAGTGCCTCACGTTCTGCCCACTGAGCTTCGGTTTTGGGGTACGAGGGTAAGACCCAACGCTTGTGCGGTTTTAAGGTCCAGGCTTCAAAACTTGGGGAGCCAACGCCCAACGACAGAGTTACACAGGCATGACCTGGGACGGGGACCTGTTGGTGAACTTCACAATTTGCTACGAGGGGTATAAACTTAGGGGAAGCAAGAAAGAAGTCAATACGAGACTTCCCTGTAGGGTCATTTGGGTTATCCCACCCCGAAGCCGAAAAGGTGAACTTAGAAGGTGCGCCGGTGACGGAGTCCTTTAGGGCAACCACATCTTCGAAACCTCCCTGGACAACAGCATCAACAATGGCGTTATTTTCGCCTGGCGGATCTTGAAAGTCACCGCACAAACACACAGGCGACGTGAACGTTGCGAGATACTCAAACAACGATTCCATGATTTGGCGTCTTCTCTCACTCTCGGACTTGTGAGTTGGCAGATAGCAATTCGCAAGAACGAAACCAGAACTAGAACCAAGAGCCACCCAAGTAACCAAGCAAAACTCATGTAAGAAGCCCCAGCAAGGAGGATAAGGAATTACGTAAGCATGTTGATTGGTAGAAACCATCGTGGCAAGCCCTCCCTGCCGCTGTCGAAACATCCTTGAACCCTCTGAGTTTGTAGTACATACAGCGGTGGCTGATGGCTGGTAGCCAATGAAAAGCTGCCATGCAGCTTCCTGACAATCAGCTTTCAAATTCGAGATTTCGTATGCTGGAATTCTGGTCTCTTGCATACAAATCACTTCGACAGGAGACTCAGTCAGGAGAAACTGGTTTAGGCATAAAATCGAGGACCGATGTTTAGGAAGGGATGTGACGTTTAGAGATGCTATGGAGAAAGGGCCTTCGCCGGGAAAACCTAAACAGGGAGAGAACGCAACAAAAAGGATCAGGTAGGAGAAGGAAGAAGGAGAAGGGAAGAGGAAGGGCAACATGAAGAGAAGATGTGGAGTAGGAGCGTGCTGCTCAAGATTGGCCTGCGTGCAGGTTATTAACAAAGAGGGCTGGACGGATCGCCTGCCCGCAAAAGGTCTCGTTGCGAGAGCAAACGAGGACCACCTAAGCAAAGCATCACGCGATTGGTGATGAGCTGCCACCTTCCGTGTAGACATGGAACACCAGAGAAGTAGCCGTAAGCGCTGTGGGCACACAAGTGATTGGCACTCCTTCAGACACGGAAATGGCAGTGATCTTGCAAGTATACCCCGAATTACAAAGCGGTGGTGAGAAAGGCCTGACATGTGGTGCACGGCGTGCGTGCGTTCCGTGCGACAAGTACAACTAAGTTTTAAACTCAGTACGCCAGGCTCAGTATGAAGACCACCTGCTGTCGAGTTGAACCGAGCTTCCTCTTTGGGGCACCCTCTGTACTGCGCCACCTGGTGTAGCCATACCGGGTGTAGGACATGGTTGCTCAACAACAACGCAAAGCAACACCTTTTAAGGGAATGCCGAGCCCACCTGCGAACTAGCCGATTAGGAGACATAAGTCTGAGAAATACACAGTATGCTGCGAGAGCAACCATAACAGCAACGCAGGCATAGGCGCAACTGGCCCCTAAGATTATCACGAACCAAACGTAGCAAATGCACTCGCTATACACTGCTGTTAAGATTGTCTGGGTAACTTGAGGGGAGGAGACTGAATCGGAGTGGAAGCTGCAGACTGTGACATCTTGATCTCCTGAATGGCCGCCATCAAACTTTTGAAGCCTTGCGCGTTCTCCGCCTGCATGGTCTCAAGCTTGCACGTGGTGGCGACCTGGTGTTTCTGCAAATCCTTGATGTCACCATTGACAGCTGACATTTGTTTCTCCAGCCGCTCAACTCTCGAAGCGAGGACTTGATTTTGCGAGCCAGTTGGCTTCCAATTGGCCCATGGGTCGAAGTTGGCTGCTGACGTGGATGGCTGCGACGAAGCCGTTGAGACATCCGAAAGGGTTTGCGCCATGGGCATCTCGAGCTTCTTGATGACACTGCCGCTTTGCTGGTGGGCTGCAGCCTTCGGCCTTTGCTGCGACCGCTGCTCGATGGTGTACTTCTGGATTACGATGGGCCCTGCAGAGGTGACAAAGCGCCAGTCCGGAGGGTCTTCGTTGGAACCAACGAACACAATCGCGAGCTCATTGAGATGCACCACCCTTAAAGGTATGACAATCCACCCCAGTCCCTCAAGAGAGCTGGCTACTACCTTGAGAGATGTACCGGTAGGAAATCCCAAGCACTTGTACTGATCAACGATCTTGATGCTGATGTTTTTCTCGGAAAACCTGTCCGAGTTCGGGTAGATTGCTCGCCGCATGTCGGCAATGTGCTCGTCCTTTACACGAATATAACGTGCACCTTGTGACCCAAAGCATCCCAGAAAACCCTCCTGGTGTTCGAACTTCTTGTACAAAGACGATAAACATCCTGCATGATCAACACGCAAAAGTTCTAGGCCGGATTCTGCGGGATCAGATGGGCGACGACAGGGTCGAACTTGCACAGAGAAAGCGCCACTTTTCACATATAGCCTGTCTCTTGTTTCATATGGAATCATGAGCCGCTTGCACACGTAGTCCTGTTTGACGACTGTGCGATGCTGAATGGACGTCTTGTCGATTCCAAACGCGGTGAGCAAGGAAAGTACGTATTCGTCCAAAGTGTTGGATAAACGGTACTTCTCCCAGTCCTCGCCACTGGAATCTGACTTTCGCAACTCAATGAGCACAGCGATCATTGATTTCACCTCAACTCGAAGAGCATCATCATCGTATGAGGCCTGGACAAAGTCGCAGGGATCGGTAGCCAAATTCGTGATGGTAACGGCGCGAGGTTCACAAACGCCACAAACTGGATCTAACACCGTGACTACTGTTTCCACGACGCGCGACTCCTCCACTCCAAAGGCAACGATTTTGTTCTTGACATAGCCCTTTGTGATGAGGAAGAATACGGAGCACGTTTCAAGAGAACTCAGCGTTTGCACTGTGGCTATGTTGGCAAAACTCCATCCGATGGATTCGTTGTGCACGCACTCAATGCCGATTTGCTGGAACCCGTCTAATGGTTTTCCAGTTACAATGCGCAGCTGGCTTGGGTCATCGAGGGATAGACCTTTGCTGGCTCCTTTAGTCTCCCATGGCGCACGCTTTGCTGGTTGCATGGCTCGAAGAAATGGTCGAAAAAGTGACTCAGTAAGATAACCACAACAACTACCCACAACAAAACCATCACCGATATCACTAGCCGAAGAGGCCCTATCAATAAAGTCAGTGTGAGTAGCCACTAACCAATACCAAAAGAGGCTGAAAACCCAAACCACCATAGCGAAGGTGCTCATTAGTGCTACCTACACGTAGCCTTCCAGCTTCCACCACTAGGAGGTTAGCACCACAGGACGACCAGAGGCCACGCCGAAGCTCTGAGCAACGACAGCTAGGGTTTATAGGGTTTATAGGGTTTAGGGTGTAGGGTTTAGGGTCCCTTACAGGCCCCCCGACTTCCACGCCCTAAACGGGTTGTAGGAACCAGGGATTGAAGGGTATATAGGGCTTTAGGGTTTAGGGATTCAAGGGTCAAGGGTTTGGGGTTTAGGGTTCAGGGCCTAGGGATTACTCGGGTTCTGGGTTTGAGGCTCCGAGGGCTTGGAGTTTAGGGGGTCGTTCAGCGCTCAGGGTCAACCGCCTCGCAAGGGGGTTTACGAAAATGAGGGACCCCTAATCTAGTCCCCCAAATAGTAGCATTCCCTTATAATAAGGACCCCAAGAAGGTACCCCTACTTTTGGAAATCATAACCCAAAGCCCTAAACCCTAAACCCTAATCGCAAAAAAGTGCACGGCCTCAAATCGTAACCCAAGGCAGGGCGCGTCGTTGTAGATCTTGACGCGGATGATGCGATCGACCAGGAACTGCGGATTTGCCCCGTGGACCTGGGCCCGAACCCAGAATCTGCATAGGGTGGGTTTAGGGTTTAGGGTTTAGGGTTTAGGGTTTAGGGTTTAGGGTTTAGGGTTTAGGGTTTAGGGTTTAGGGTTTAGGTCTTAGGGGTTTAGGGTTTAGGGCGAAACCCTAAACCCTAAACCCAAAAACCATAAACCGGGGTTTTAGGTTTCAGGGTCTTGTCGCAGATGGCGTACTTATGAAATGCTGCACGCTAAAAGCCTCATACTACTAACCCTCAACCCTAAACCCAGGGTTTGGGTTTCAGGGTCTTGCCACGGATGGCGTAATGATGCAATTCTGTACACTATAAAAGCCTTATTCCACTCTTTGCTTAAGAACACCGGGAAAAACACAAAGATAACAATCCCTATATTACCCTTATAAGGAAGACTGACGATTTCATTTTTGGGAAGGGGTTCTTAAGCAAACAGCCCTAAACCCTAAACCCTAAACCCTAAACCCTAAACCCTAAACCCTAAACCCTAAACCCTAAACGGTTCTTGGGATGCCAAATGCCACCTCGAGCCGGCCTCTGACTGCCCAGGGACGCTAAAATCTCAAGAGCGCGGTGGTGTGACCTTCTTACCCTTTTTGGATCCATGTACCTAGCTCGTCTATACTTGGGCCTTTAAGGGGTTCCTACATAGTAGCTTTGTAGCTTTGGGCCCAAGTGTATATTCTTTGGGTACATGGATCCTTTAGGGTTAAGGGTTTCGGGCCATTTCGAGAAGTAGGAACTGAGGCAGGCATGCGTTCCGAATTCCCTGCTGAGTCGACCTAAACCCTATAAACCCTAAACCCTAAACCCTAAACCCTAAACCCTAAACCCTAAACCCTCAGACAAGTGTCAGGACTGTATATAAAGCGTGTAGGGTTACAGTAGAGTGGTGGACCAAGTTGACTGTATCAATCCCCCCTTCCCCCTTGCATCCCCAGTTCTACCCACCCCATGAACCTTCTAGAGCGGCTTGACTTGCAGCCAAGGTACGGTATCCGCATCGGGATCGGTGCGGTTCGCCATTCACCTCAGCAAATTCAACACCTCACAACAACTCTGCTCACCCCGTATAACGCCGGGCAGAAGCCGTGGATACTTTGCGCGTCCCGACAACCCCAACACTCGCAATTCTCAAGCTCACTGCTTGGAAGTCGACGGGTAGCCGGGGTGATAAGCAGGATACACACTGACATACATGCCTATGACCTGTGAATTTTTTGGGGGTGGGGACTTGTAGCTACCCTAGCTTCGGCTTCTATATGCACCCATGAACCTTCACGCACCCTTGAGCCTTAACCCTGAACCCAAAACCCCAAAACCCTAAAACCCTAAACCCTAAACCCTAAAACCCTAAAACCCTAAAACCCTAAAACCCTAAAACCCTAAAACCCTAAAACCCTAAAACCCTAAAGCCCTAAAACCCTAAAACCCTAAAACCTAAAACCCTAAAACCCTAAAACCCTAAAACCCTAAAACCCTAAAACCCTAAAACCCTAAAACCCTAAAACCCTAAAGCCCTAAAACCCTAAAACCCGAAAACCCTAAAACCCTGAGTCTGGCAAGTTTGCAGCTGGGGCGAACACCACAGCAACACCCTGCTGTGGGTTGGCTCAGATCTGAAGTGGCTGCGGCACGTGCCGGAATCAAGCCTCAGGTGTAATAGGGTTTAGGGTTTAGGGTTTCAGGGCTTTAGGGTTTTGGGGTTTTGGGGTTTTGGGGTTTTGGTTTTGGGGTTTTGGGGTTTTAGGGTTTTAGGGTTTAGGGTTCACGCCCACAACGAGAGGCTGTGCAAGCAAAGCAAACACATAGGCCCTGGCGCCTTAGGGTTTTGGGTCTAGGGCCCTTTATAGCATAGACTTGGGCCCTAAAGATACTAGGCAGGCAAGGGATGACGGATGACCCCCTTAAAGAGGATCGGGGTACTTGGGAAGGTTTTGGGGTTAGGGTATAGTATAGGGTTTAGGGCTTAAGGCTTACAGTAGGGTAGGTTAGAAGTAAGAGGCCCCCAAGCACAAGAAGGTTGCGTTTAGGGCACTTAGACGTCCAGTCTACTCTTACGTACTAACTCCCTGTATCCTCGAATCAGGTAGCCATAGATTCCCATACCTAAACGTAACTTGTCTACCTCAAACATGATGATGACAAGTATACCTTCAGCAACTCGTAGGTATGTTTTCACGCCCTCATGGGCTACTACTGGGGCCTGAACAATTAGTTAAGATCACGCCCTCATGGCCCTTGTATATCGAAGTACAGTTCAGCCTGCCCCAGACCACATTCGCAGGTCCTAGTTCCCTGCCTTTGGCGGACTCCTAAACCGCAAGCCTTGGGCTAGTTTAGTGCTTCGGGGGGGGGGGGGTGGGTTTGGGGGGTTTTGGGGGGGTTTAGGGGGGTTTAGGGCAGTTTAGTGGGGTTTAGGGCGGGTTAGGGGGGTTTAGGGTGCCCTGACCCAAGCACAAGCGAGAAGGTGCCCCCTTTTCTTGTTTCGCGAGCGCGGTGCCCCCACCCCCGGTCCGAGAAGCAGCACATAAGGATCCTTCCTGGATTAGAACGGCCAATGGGCATTTTGGGTAATTGTGATTTTTAGTACTATTGTGATTTGTTCTGCAGGGTTATCAGAAATGATTTTGATAATGATCTAAGCTCCTGCATTTACAGCGTTTGGGGTCTAAGCGTTTTGTCTCTCGTGTTCTGTCATATAGTTTAAGGAGCTCGGCGCTTAATCATGACTGCCGCCTGTGGAAGAGGCAGGGAGTTTTCGCATCAAGAAGCCAGAAGTCCGCATGTTACAGAACGGGAAACAGGGACCTCCCTGAACCCTAAACCCTAAACCCTAAAGCCTAAACCCTGAGCATGTCAATGGCCACGCACTGCAGCCGATCTGTCGTTTCTCTGAATCCTACACTCCAGCCCTAAACCCTAAACCGTAAACCCTAACCTAAACCCCGAACCCTAAACCCGAAACCCTAAACCCGAAACCCTAAACCTCCATCCGAAAACGAAGTCTCATCTCGCGCTTCCTGGCTTCTTGGCGAAGTCCCTCGACCTACCTACTGGAATGGACCCAGGGGTTGGCGCTGAACCCTCCACCCTTGGGCAAAAATGAAAAATTAGGGACATGAGAATTATGTAACCCTGTATCAACCCTTTAGGGAGTCTATGTAGGGTAATTACTCAAGCCTTCATAATAAGTCAGCACTCCTGACTCTAGACTCTAGATTCGGCTCGGCCGAGAAGCATCTGGAACAAGAGCAGGATCTGGTCTCCTTCCCCTTCCCCACCCCCCCAACACCCCCCCCCCCTCCCAGCCATTCCACCACAAAGGAGGGAGGGGGCGGAGCAAGCGAAGATTAAAAAAAGACGGCGTGACCTTTTTAGACCCTCTTCGACTCGACCTAAGATCCCTGAGGGCGGAACACTTCTCTTACAAGCCCGGGACCGCCCTGGGCCTCTTCACTCTCCCCTGCAAGCGCGTCACTTGGCAGCACACGAGCACAACAAGTGCGCCAAGAGGGTGTTGGTAAGCAAGCCAGCTTAGTGCTCCAGGCAAACACGGCTTCAGGGGTTTTCCAGCTTCAGCCGCTATACGTCCCCCAAGCTCACTTCCGCTGCGGGTTCAAGGTTTCGGGTTCGCAGCACGGCTGCTCTCCAGCATCGATTTGCGTTTAGGGTTTACCTTGGGCGCCCAAAACCCTGAAAAAAGTGGGTTTGGAACCCAAAACCAGGTTTTCCGGAAGATTTTGTCAAAAACCTGGTTTTGACTAACAGAACCGGGTTCTTTCAAAATGTGACGTATAGAACCCGTAAATACCCGTCGGAAAACCCGAAAAAAACCGTCGAAAACCCATAAAAAACCGTCGGCTTTCAATTGGCCCTACAAAACCCGGTTTTGGTTTCCAGAACCTGGTTTTAACGTAGAACCTTCTTTTTTTGGGGTTTTGGTTGCTGAAGGTAGGGTTTAAGGTTTAGGGTTTTTTTTTCCGCATCTGCAGGTCGACCGCGCGGACTGGAAACTCCGAGGTGCGCCGCTTGGACCGCAGACGTGCACGTCCCGGGGCTTGAGCCGGCCCGGCTGCCGAGGCGCAGCGTGCGCGAGCGTGTATACTCATCGTACCTCCCGATTTGCTTTCAGTCTTAAATCTTAAATTGTGGCCTAAACCCCCAAGCCCTACACCCCAAACCCCTTAAAAGCCTAAATATCCCTAAGCCCGAACATCCGGGA